AAGGATGGAGCATTCCTCATTAAAGTACAACTTCCATGAGCAGACCCGTTGACCCAAAGCAATAAATATCTACTGGAGGAATTGCAGGCCATGGGATGGCAGAGTGGGAGAGAGGTTTCTGAACAGGAAGAGCCCGTTCTAGTTACTCTGGGCAATGCCCTCTCACATCAGTTCAGGAGACTGGCTCCACCCCTCTATGTAAAACAGAAATGGTCATTTCCAATGCTTTTAGACGACTTTCTAGAGTCACAGGCCACAGAAATTCTCCCTGCCAACAAAGTAACACCAAACTCTCCTGCATTTCCCAGTGGTTCCCTGGATCTCCTTCTCTTCGTGTCAGTTCATTTTATTACCTGTATCAGGAAGGATTCTATCTGACTTCGTATAAGAGGAAAACTCCAAAAAAGTAATAACTTCAATAAGAGGTGTTTAATTCTCTCTAAGGTAAAAGAATTCTAGAGTGGAGTGGTCCAGGTTTCATTTGGTGGCTCCATGAAGTCCTCAGGGAGCCAGGTTCCTTCCAGATCTCTCCTCCACCGTCCCTAGAACATAGTTCTTGTCCTCATGGTTCAACATCACTGCTGGTACTCCAGCTATTATATCACATTCCAGACAGCAAATGTGGAAGAAACTGAAAAGAAGGAGAAGAGCATGGCCAGGAGTCCACTTATCACTTCCACTTGGTTGCTCCCTATGTATCTGTTAGCTATCGTTGCATAACAAAAAACCACAATGTTTCAGTAGCATACAATTCTAAGCATCTGTTCTCACGTATCTGCAGATTGCCTGGGATTCAGCTCATCCAGGCTGGCCTCAGCCAGGCACTTCTGCTCAGATTACAGTGGTTGGGCTGGTGCCATACCTCACAACAGGTCTGTGTGTCAGTTGAGTAACTCTATCCCACATGTCCTTCATCTTCCTGGGACCACTGGGCTAGCCAGGACATGTTTTTGTCATGGCACAAAGAGGCACAAATGAGCAAGCGGAAATAGGCCAGGTCTCCTAAGGTCTGGACTCAAACCTGACACACTGTCACTCTGCTCAGGTGCTATTAAAGTCAAGAGACAAGAAGTACAATCGCCCACGAGGAGGCCATAGCCCGGGTGTGATTGGGGGTGGGGTAAAGAAGTGGAGCCAGGAGTCAATCTACCATACCGGGCTGCAAGGGAATGGGGAAATGTCACATTTGGACTGGGTGACAACAAGCCTAGCTAAAGTCACAGGTGTTACTAAGGAAGGGAAGAATAGTGTCCATCACACTCCCTCACGTTGTACCAACGTTGCAAAATACCAATACTGGCCCAGTGCAAGTTCATCACAATTCTTTCCGTCACTTCAAGACCCAGGGCATGTAGACTTACGAAGCCTTGCAAGAAGGCAAGAAAAGAGAGGCACTGCGTGTCTAGATTGTCAATGCTCTCCACTTTTGAGCAGGTGGGGCAAAATGTTTTGTTTTTTTTTTTTAATATGGTCTATCTCAAAGCTCCCTGCCAAGAAAGATCAAATTCATGCAACCTTAGAAGGTATGGCCCAAAGCTCTCTCTGTACATCTCTCCCCAACACCAGCATGGGCTGGAGACGGCAGGCAGTCTGGAGGCAAACTGTGCAAATGAATAACCCTCGTAAGTAACCACAGAATCCCTCAGCCTCCACTTCCTGAGTGAGAGGAGAAAGCACGAGGAAGCAAGTAATGGGATAAAAATATCCAAGCTGTCCTGAGACCCCTGAGCCCCACCCCAAGGCCCAGCCTACCCCAGCACCTCCCCCGGACTCTGAGACTTCACCAAGATCCAGAAACTAACATGGTAGCCCCCGGCAGGGCCATGCTCTGGCCTCACTGCTGGCTCTGTTTCTGTTGCCTGGTGTCATTTCCACGCTGACTCCTCAAATTTTTAAATATAATGCCTGGTGGCCCCAGCCACGTGTCAGAAAGGAGATTTCCTGCTAAAGGACCCCTATATTTCTAGACTTATGACCTGATGTCTTGGAGTTCACTTCTAACATTTGAAAAGGCTGGTTTCTCACCCTGCCAAACCAGTGTTCTGTCTCAAGTCTCTCCCTATTCCAATCCATCCTTGACACTGTGACCAGGTCGATATTCCAAACGCACAGATCTGCCTCCAACAGTAAATATCCATTTATCCGCAGTGCTAAATTTTTGTGTACAAATTTTAATTTAATCCTCATAGCAACTGTGTGAGATGGATGTAATTGTTTCAGTCTTAAAATTGTGAAAACTGAGACTGCCTTAATAAGGAAAAGAGCTGGCACTCGAACCCAAGACAGTACTTTGTCTCAAGCATCACAGCTGCCTCTGCCAGGAAATCACTCTCCACTATTCAATAAACTTCCATGGTTCCCCACAGACCATCAGAGAGCATCTGAACTCTTTATGTTGGCATTGAAGGCGCTTGACCGTCAAATCCTAAACTCCACATTCAGCCTTAGTTCTCACTTCCCACAAGCGTATAATATAGTTTCCAATTTCATCCATCGCTCTTTGTTGAAATGGTCTGTCTGCCTTACCCCCCTGCCATCACTTACTTGCATTCATCCACCTGGAAAGCTCACCCCAATACCCTCCTCATGGTCAAAATCCTCCCCATGTCCCTATTTCATGAAGTCCCACCTTCAATGCTCTCAGCCAGAGGGAATTTCTTCCTCCACATCCTGTCAATATGTTCTTGTCCTAAACTCTTTTGTGGTACTTGGTACTTTCCACTGTGCATTATGGCAACGTGTGCACCTGCTTTGAAGCCCCACACACTCTGAGTAGCCTGGAGGGAGAGACCCAGTCTCACTCATGTTTTTCTTGCACATTATAACACAGAGCTCTGTTCCTGGCACAGAGCCAATACTCAATATTTGCTCATTCAATTAAAAAATGCATTTATTGAGTATCTATTATGTGTCACAAACTGTTAGGCACTGGAAACATATAAATAATTAAGACATTCAACATAGCATAAAAATTAATTAATGAGGGAATGGATCAATGAATGATGCAAATGTGATTCTGTTTCCATGTGGAATCACACTATATTCCGGTCATTATTTTCTTCTAATCTTACGAGTGTCCGGAGAAGTTTCCCGGAAAAGGGAATGAGACTGGGTTAAACAACCTGCACCATCAAAAGTCTCATAAAATTACAGATTATATTAAAGGGAAAGGAAGGGGTGGTCCGAACCACACGTGGTCTCTGTTTTACATAGCAGAATGTGTAAATCAGAGAAGTAAATCCAAGTTTTGTAAAGTTGAGCTATTTTAAAGGCACCAGAGGAGTTTTCTGTTGTAAAGGTTCCTAGGCCGAAGCTTTTAGACGGCGACTGCTCAGCCCACACCCATCTCTTTGTAAATCCAGTTCCCACAAAACAGACTGTTGTAGAAGAATTTGTGTCTCTGAGATGCTTGGCCTTCTGGGCAACTGTGAGATTCTGAATCTCCGGTTCCAGGAGACACACCTGGGGAGAGGAGGAGGAAGGAAGCATGAACAAGAGCCGAGAACAAAGTCAGCAGGAGGAAGCTCGCTAAGAAAATAGCCCAAAGTCCACGGGGAGGCATAGCTGCCACACTGATGAAAACAAGATGAGAGATTGGACAGAGGAAGCAAGGAAGGTAATCAGAGTGGACCCTACATTAGCCCCTTCCAGACAGACCCCTGTACCCCTCCTCTGACAGCCCAGAGCAGAGTGGTCCTGCTGTGGATGCCTGAGCTCTAAGCTTCCCACATTTTGCCATCGTCCCCATTTAGAGAAAGATTACTTTAAAAGATTATAAAAACACAATGGAATGTTTCCATATGAAATTCCGTGGGATCTGGGATCTGCTTTGAAATCCTCCAAAGAAACAAAATTTCAGTTCAGGGTGGGGAGACGGATAAACGAAATAGACTTGGACGTGAGGGGGGAACTGTTGAACCTGAGTGACGTGGACATGGGAGTTCATTATTCCATTTTCTTTACTTTTATGGATGCTTGAGAATTTTCAAAGTAAAAAGTTAAAAGAAAACACAAGTGAGCCAAGGGGCCTCAGGAAGGAGGTCAAGGATGACGAGCCAGCACCAGCCCTGATCCCATGCACGCTCTTCCTGCCCCTTCAGGATAAGGTCTCACACTGAGGTAGGGGTTTGCTGCTCGGTCTGCCCCCTATGGCGCCACGGCATGGCCAAGCCCAAGTGCGCGTGTCAGTCTTGTTACCACAGGATGCACAGTGTGCTCTTGGCATGTGGTTTTCAGCATCAGCTTGTGAGGGCATCTCTCTTCCCACTAAAGGTGACCTGGCTCATCCCCATGCCTGCCAACAGAGAAGCTGAAGATGGAGGAGAGAGCGACAGTGTTAGTTCATTTGAGGAGGACAGAGTCAATCTTCTGGGTTGACATGATCAGACGAAAGAGCCCAGGCTGCCACCGCAGCTCAGCCCATCTCCGGGCAGGACACCTGGAGGCCCTGCCCGTTGAAAAGAGGATGAATGGCATTTATTGATTTCTTCGTATGTTTCTTGAATATGGGTAGTCTTTCTCCTAGGCTCTGAGTTCCTTAAGATCTGGGATTGCTTTATATTTTATTGAGTTTTGCCTGGGGTCTAACTCAGTGCAGGAGCTATGTAAATGGTTGCTGAATTGAAATAAAGTTGAAGACGACTGACAAAAGGATTGTTAAAACACACCCAAGGATTTAACTCGCCCAGTCCCTCTGTTCAGATGCACTTGGATTCTCCCCCTCCCTGTCTCTCCTTCCCTATGAGGGGTAATTAATAATTCAGCAAACAATAGTGTATTCTTGATGGTGAAGAATATAACAATTTAATTGATATTTGTTTCTGCAGCCGCGCAATCTCTCATTTTCCCAGGAGGGCAGTTTTCCATTGCTGTTCCAGGTTTCTCCCAATAAAATACATCAACCCTGGGGATATTTGAAGGCCATTTGTTAAGAAAGAAAGAACATGGGTAATGGGTTTGTAATAGACACAACACCGTAATCATCATGTTTTAAACACTGACATTTATTTAGGGTTTTGTGAACTCATACATTATTGGGATAAATTCTAATTTATATTGGTATATAATAGGCAAATATATAATACAATAAATTGCATTTGTACACATAAATACAAAATTTGAGGTAGGGCCTCAAGAATAATGACTCCTTAAATGAATAATGCACAGTATATAATACGTACTCTATAAGATATATATATGATGTACCATTTGTAACACAATATATTTTCTTCATGTAAAGTTAATGAAAAAATATAAGGACCTGACTAGGGAACATATCTTTGTTCACAGGCAACAGTACCACATATGATGCCTGCATGTAGGACATTAGCCAAGTACGCAATTTCAGAATAAACCTATTCCGGGATAGGTCCATAATAAAGTGCAAAAAAAGGCCAAAAAATGAAAGACAAAACGGTTTCTAGTCGATTTCTAAGTGTCATCCTAACAATAAAATACACCTATAAGGCAAATGGCTACCTGAAGATGTATTTACTCCACGGCAGGCAAATCCAACCATCACTTGCCCCTCAGAGGCGATGAATGCCCGCTCTGAAAACCCTTTCTCTTTGGCTGCAGGCTGCTCGGATGTGACCCAAGCAGAAACTACAGTTCGAAATTACTATCTTTCTGTACAGTTGAAGCGAAATCTGGGAAAGATAGGAAACCTCGCTTTTACAAATCTTAGGGCCACTTTGTGGAGAAATTAGTATCAAGAATAAATCACCCACACTTGGCTCCCAGCCTGGAAGTCTTTTCTGCGTGATACCCAGTGTAAAACAGAGGAAGCACTCATGTGTTGGCCTTGGCCGTTTTTCCCTGCAGCCAGCCTGCCCCACAGCACACCCCACGTGAGTCATCTGCCTCAAAGAAGCGTGTCACAAACTCAAGTCAGGGTGCGACAGCAGCGGCATGATCTTGCCATCATGCATACGCTAAGCAATAGCAATTGTGCAAGTCTCTGGGAAGAGGACAATGACCGATGGCCGACAGAACAAAGAGGAAAGAAAAATCTTAAATTTAGGCATGGGAAAACCATGCTGCCAGGTGAAGGTTGTCAGGGAGCACTGAGGCACGTGTAGATAGCAGGAGAACTTAATTAAAAGAAAACTCAACCCCAAAGCAACATTAGCACGAAGACAACCCAAGTCTTAGTCATTTAAATTAAAGGTCATCATGTTAAATGTCTTTTTAAAGTGCCACTCGCTGAAGTACAAGTTGATTACATTTTTTACATATTAAAAACATATTGGAAATTTCAAAGACATTGAGGTCATCGAGATTTTGCATTGACCACAGATTTCATGCAATACGTAAATATAAACCAAAAAAAGTAAAAGACCAGACTGGACACATTTGTACAGGACAAACACACAGTCCTAAAGAGATTAAAAGTCACTAATATGCAAGACAAATATTTGCATAAGAAGCCACAACACCAATAGTTAAGAAATATACATTGTTTTTCCATTAAGGATATTACAGGGTTACTGCTTTTAATATATGGCTTTTTTTTCTCTGAAGGGGTTTCTGGCATTTGTCGGTGTTAGGAAATAATCTCGCAAGTGGAAAAGACCCCAACCTTCTATACAGCGAACCAACGGAAGTCTCTCCTCAGCAGCTCAGTTTCTTCCTCGGTTTGAAGGGGAACTCTCAAGCGGCAGTTTATGACGATGCTGTTCATTTTATTTTTATTCACTAATTTTTTTCTTCCAATTGACTGTGCATTTTAAAAGCATGGAAACATCCATCTGGTCATATGCATCTCAGCTCTCTGCATCCCCACCAAGTCTACGGAGGTGCAGTGCAGGTGCGCCATGACTGGAGCCAGCTGGACACTGACCACCTCTGCCAGGGAAAGCCTCGGAGCTGACCACGGCTCCAGAAACAGGCAAAACAACATTTACAAGGTACCCGTTTCCAGGTCAGTTCAGAACCTTTCACCTTTAAACAAATTTTACATAAAACACGGAAACTGTAGGGTAAAGGAAAAACACCCCAGCTGCTTAGGGAACAGCTACCGGGTCTTAAGTAGGACAAATCCTAATTAATACAAACGTAGCTGTCCCCAACTGCAAAGCACACTAGCTAGAGAGGAGGTCCCTGTTCTCACAATTCAGTTAACTTTCAGTTTGTACAAAACAAACCTGGCAGTATCGTGGGTTTTCTCCCCTCTTCTTTTAATCACAACAACAATAATTAGCAGAAATTGGGTTGGCATCCAGCGTCAGACTCTAGTTTTAGCCAAGAGACGAGAGAGGAAAGCCAAAATCCATTGGTCCTGACATAAACATATGGGTCCCATGAGAGAATGCTAATTGATTTAAGCTCTTTTCTTCAGCCTTCAAGTTGGAAAGCCTACAGATAATTTCTGATCCTAAGTTATTCCTCCCTTCCACTTCCCACTCCACCAGTTATCGATTGGAGAGGCTAATTTTTGGTACCAGTACATGAAATCGGCTACAGCAACAGGGCTTCTCATCAATATGGCTTTCTTGGGGAAACCAGTATTAATGGCAGATGGGTCAGTTTGGGAAACACTGGGACACATGGGGCCACAGCTCAGCTTCCTAAAGCTAAGTCTAGAAGAAGCTCAGGATTCTAGTAAGCTCTAGCCTTGGGAGACAGGCAGAAAAGGAGAACAAGGAGGAGGAAGAGCAAACAGGCCTGGCAGATTAGAGATGAAAACCTAAAGTTCAAACCCATCTTTGTTTCCTGTCCTGGAAGTTCCCACAGGCTGCTCTGGAAAACTGGAAGTTCACGACAGTGTTGGCAAATAACAATGATGATTGCCCTAGAAAAGGGAGAGCTCAGCAAAGTGAGTTGAAACTCTTTTTTTCTTTTAACAAATGAAGACATTTTTTAAAAAAAATGTTACATTAAGGTCTGTTGTTGGGTTTCATTGCTGTTGAACGGGATGAAAATGTCACGTCAATATACAAGATTTGAACTGAAAACTGTGCCTGAGACCCTGTAATATGAAGACAAACAAATAAGAAAATGACTGAAACGGTCTCCCCTAAAGAAAACAATTCTAGGTTTAGATACTATTACTGTAAGGGAAAAAAAAACAATATACTAGTCTAAACTCACCATCTCTACAGTGATTCACAAGATATTTATAAGGACAGAAAACACTACTACGAGTACACACTACATGACATGAACACACCACATTTTAAAAATTTCATATATGCATGTTCAGGACACAGGAAGATAATCAAGGTTACAGCTCCGCCAATCTCTGCAAATACGTGAATTGCTCTCATTAGAGTGCTGTTATGAGGGCTGTGAGTTGGGGACTCTTGAAATTGAATTGGCTAAATGTAGTCTTAAGAGCTATAGTCTTAATTGGCTCGCTTGCTCCTTACCTAAGCTGTATTCACCAGAACATTCTGTAAATACGGTGACCTAAAATGTACTACCAGCATGGTGAATATTATGGTTGCTTTCTATTCAGTTCTCCACTTCTCTGATTTCTCTATGACCACGTTGGCATTTACTGTGAATGAAAAAGTTAAGAGTAAAAGTTGAGAAGTTATCTGTCTTTGAAGAGTGTGTGTCTTATACATATAATACATAGACAGAACCAGGGTGAGTCTTGTTTTCCCAGAGGTTGAAAGGTGAGGGACCTACAGCTTATAGGAAGACGTTTAGAAGAGAAGAAAGGTGGATCATGACAGTGAAGCAGGGCGCTAAATGTCAAGGAGAAAGGAGAATGGAGCTCTTCTAGAATGCACAAAATTACGCACAAATTATATGATGGCTTCTTGTGCAGAGGTGGAGGAATGACCAAAAAAACTCACAAATATGGTTATTCAAAGAAACAAGACAACCGAGGGAAGAGAACCGCCTCTTCGCTGGATTCGCAGCGTGCAGAGTTAAGTATCTGAGTCCTTGGCGCACATGAGGCAGTTGGTCCAAATGGAGAAAACAGACCCCCAATTGTGAATGGGAATGTGAACTTAGCCACCTCGGTGGTGTCCAAATCCACCAGCCTCATCTTACTCTAAAACATTTCTGACCACTGCCGACCCTCCACATGTTCCCCATCCTGAGCTTTCTGCATCTGAATGAAACCTCCACGCCGCTCAGCTCAGCTCTACGACACTGCTGAATCCAAGTGAACAGTCTTGTAATTCTGCCCTTCTCCATCTGCCTCACTGGCACCACCAACGACAACACATGGATGCTCCTCAGTTGACCGAATCTCGCATACCTCCTTGTGACTTCACCGGAAAGCACTCGCCTAGTCGATCCGCTCCTTCTGGGTAAAGTGTGTGCTCAGGGGACCAACCCTACGGAAACTGAGGCCATGGACACAGGCAAACAGCGCGTCAAGTGGTCTGTCTAGCTCTTCACTACAGCATGCGACACTACATCCTACTTTTCTACATAACCACTCTCATGCACAGATGTGTACCGAGATGTGGGGAGAAAGAAGAAGAAAATGGGAAAACATTAGGGGAAGGCAGAGAGGAAAAAGAGGACCAAGTCTGGGCCATCCCATGCCATCGGACTAGCACTGGGTGCCAAGCTCCAAATCCTTCACTGGCAATTTGAGTCCCAGGGAGGAAGTTCCCAAGGGGTCGATCATGTTCTTGTAGCGCTCCCCACGGTGCTGCGCTAGGAAAGGGCCCCAGTCTGGCTGCGGCGAGCACACCAACTTCAGCCTCTGCAAAGAAGCCAAACACACACAGGGTCACAGAAGTCATGTACCTTCCTCCCTTAGGCGCCACCCACCCATCCCCAAACTGTGTGCGACCCCATTTACCAGAACTCCTCGTTGAGCCAAGAGGTGCCGCACCAGGAGAAGCATTTCAGGAAGATCAGCCCCATGAATTAATTAGTGAGGGACGCAGTAAATAGGAGACTTAGTTTGGTTCACTTAAATTATTTACATCACCCTGCAAGCAATATTCCAATTGCTCAGGGCTTGCCTTGCATAAGATTAATAGACGATAAAGGGCCCAAATTTTAATTACACATTTTTTCCCTCCAAATGTAGAGAATCTACAAGCTTCTCTCCACTGCCAAACGCAGTCTGCAAAGGACGTGTGCTCGATTACTATTTGTTCTATAGCCTCCACAGTGGTTTGTTACATCACAATAATTGGATTTTGTTTAGCATATTTCCAAAAAGTATATAATTGGCCAGGAAAAAAGAAAACCCAACCCCAAAGATACATTGCCAAGACTAAGCAAAGATTTTAATTATCTGTTGATAAAAATATATGCTTCTGACTTGGTTCAGAAGTGTGGGTTCTCGCAGGCAAGCTAAAAATAATGGGAGTGTCTCTAATCCTTCCACTGAACTTTTTACAGAAAACATAATTGGACTGGAACATCTTCTAGAAAAAGGAAAGAAAACATATTTCTGACTACATAAGAGGGAACAATTATATGTTTATTACCTAGTAAAGTGAAGCCATTTCTTATATCTGTTAGTTTAATCTCCCCTTAATCATCAGTTTGCAACCCTGGTGTCCCAAATCAACCGTAATCTATTTATAGAGCCGACTCATCAGTTTAGAGAATTCTGGCCTAAGACAAAAGTAGCAGTGGCTACACCAGCTTTTGTGCAGAGGGAAAGAGGTTTCTGGGTCAGCTGTGGGAGGTTCACCTGGGGCACAAGCGAGCCGTCCCTGGGGGTCAAGGGGCACAATAATTTATCGCAAGGGGAAAATGGACAGAATTTCCTGAGGATGGAAACTGGAGCTCAGCTTCACAAGGAAGATTCCTACATCTCCCTTTGCCAACTCTGTCTCCATCTTTGGCCCAACAGAAACAGAGGTGACATGGATGCTTGCATTGGGCATTTACGCACCTGCTTTGTTCCCATCCTCCTCCTCCCCTCCGGAGTCTCCGTGGAGAGCTCTCCTCCTTTTCTCAATGTGACTGGCCAAGAGCACAGCCAATCCAGCTGTTCTCCACTTCCCCCCACTGGCAGGTGTTCCATCACCGTGCTCTACTCCAAAGACTCTCAAACTCGAGTGTGCATCAGAACCACCTGGGAGCTTGTTAAAACTATGGACGCCAGGGCCCCCTTCCCCAGGATTCTGGTTCAGTGGAGTCATGCTGAAGCCTGATTATTTGCATTCCCAAAGAGCTCCCAGGCGCTGCTGGTGCTGCTGGTCCCTGGACCAAACCCTGAGGAGCACCAGTCTGGGCCAAAATGCCAGCTCTCTTGATCTTGAAGACAAAGGTGGTGCTGATCTATTCCTAGCACGTCAGAGCCTGACCACACTTCACTGGTGGCGTAACAAGCGGCAGTCCCTCCCCATCCACTCTGGAGCGAAGGTGGGGATATTTTTGCATTAGCAATGGAATATGCATCCAGCAAGGGATGCACTGACAAGGAAAGACAAGTCCCACCTCCTAGCAGCCATGCTTTGAACCTTGCATTACATTCTACAGGGATGGCAACATTTTCATCAGCTTGGACCCTTCAGCCATCCCTAATAGGCACAGGGGTAGGAAGGGGTAGTGATTTTCAATGTAATGGTAATAGATGTTTGCAGGCTTGAGGAGGCTTGGACAGAGAAGAACATCAGGAAAAGGGGAATCTGATCTGTGGTTAAAAACCGAACACTGGGATTTAAAGTGTGGCTGAGGGGAGAGGCGGAAGAGACAGGAGACATTCACATCATTTATTCCCTGGAGCTGTCACTGCGCTGAGCAATAGCATAGTAACAGCTCAGCCTGTGGACTGGCTGAGCCCCTCCATTAGAGGAATAAGACATAATAAAAATGAGGTTAGCAGAAACATAGCAACTGTAATCACCAAGTCTCCTTCTAGACTAAGTTTAACGAATCTTTTGGTTTTTAGCCCACAGAGCTCTCAGAGATTCTCTCTTGGGAGAGGATGGTAGGGGGAGGAGCTGGTGGAATTACCTCAATAAATCTGCCAGGAGCCAGATGCATTTTTATCACAAACATAATTGGGATCCAGATAACGGAACAGGCGAGCATCAGCCAGCCGAGCACCATGGACCAGTTCGGGTAGCGGTACGAGCCGTAGGTCATGGGTTCCCATTGGTAAAAGCTGAAGCAGAGGATAAACTGGGAGAAAAAAGAAACACATGTGTTAGAGCAGGGTGGCGGTGGGAAGCATTCATTCATTCAACAGCCAGGTACTGAAGCCCTGCTCTGAGTCCGAGGCTTTCATATCTATCATCTCATTCGAAACCCATGACCACCCTGAAAGGGAAGTATCATTAATCCATTTTCCAAGTGAAGAAACTGAATTTCAAAGAGGTGAGGATGACACACACTTAGCTGCTGACCCTGCATTTGCCATCCCACAGGACCTGAGCCATGCATACACGTGCACATGCACACAGACAGGCTGAGAAGACAAGTCTGAAGGGTGCACACCAAGGTGACTGATGGGTAGAGGGGGGAGAAGGGGAGGTGAGTGTTTTTAAGGGGTTATCTCTACTTTGTATAATGGATAATCAAGCTTTTGTTACAAGAAAAAAATCCATTAAGTTTATGCATTTTAATTTTTAAAAATGAGTCGGATTTACTTTGCTTTCTCCTTGAACGGGGCATGGCCCACATCCAAGAGCTGTGTCTAAAGCTGACTGTGTGAGACCCGGAGTGGTCCCCAAGCAGTGCCTGAGCCGGAAGCTTGGTCCTGTAACGAGCTGTGGGGCAAAGAGAATGAATGCACAGCCCCGGCCCAACGGACGCAAGGTGAACGGGCCTCGTCACCCAACGGCGGGCCGAGAGCCCGAAACCAGCCGGCTGATCTCAGCTCTGCCACTCATTAGCCGATGGACCTTTACAGCTCAGACTTCTCTATAAAACGCATCTATGTCACACCGCGTATACAACACCAGTTTCCTGGGAACGATAGCCCAGTATTTACTCAACAGTTCCCCCTCAATTTTAAGAGAGGTCATGATGTATTTTCGGCCCATTATCTCCTACTGCGGCACAATTTGGCTGGCAACAGCGGGAGAATCCCTTGAAGACGTGGTTATTAGTGCAGAGGAAGAGAAGCATGGGAACGCAGGTGCCAAAGAGAGCGGCCTGGAAGAAGACAGAGCACAACATCCAACTGGCCTAGCCGAGCCTTCCGGGGCACAGCCCTGAGAACCCGGGTTCTTCCCGGTGCTCAGCCTGCCTATGGCAGCATTGACCTAGGATAACGTGCCCACGTAACTCCTTCCCTCCTCCCCACCTTCTCAGTCTGTCTTAAGCAATAAAATAAGCGCCCCAAAACGATTGGAGAGACCTATGTCAGAAAAGATAACATATGGAAGTGTTTTGGAAAAACATGAAGCACTACACCAAGGTCAGGCATCTACATTATCGCTACAGAGCCCGGGCTGCTGGGGCAAGTGACTATTTCAATGCAACAATAATTCAATGTATCGATTCCAAGCAAGAGGAGCCTGAAGACAACTGTTGAAAAAACAGCTCCTGTGGAAAGTCACCTACTCAAGGCCATTTTCTTTTTTTTTTAAAGATTCGCACCTGAGCTAACGACCGTTGCCAATCTTTTTCTTTTTTCTGCTTTTTCTCCCCAAATCCCCCCAGTACATAGTTGTATATTTTTAGTTGTGGGTCCTTCTAGTTGTAGCATGTGGGACGCCGCCTCAGCAAGGCCTGAGGAGTGGTGCCATGTCCTGGCCCAGGATCCGAACCAGTGAAACCCTGGGCTGGATGCTGCAGCATAGCGTGAGAACTTAACCACTCAGCCACGGGGCCGACCCCCGAGGCCCCTTTCCAAACATTTGCCCCTAGAGTTATAAGCTTTATTAACCAGTCTATTGGAAGTATGGCCTAATGTAATTATGGTAAGTTGCTCCATTTCATTTACTATATAAATAGCAATACGTCTGCTTATGTGTGCGCATAATTCAGTGACGTGATCTGACTATGTACACAATAATTGCAAAGAGAATATTTATAGCTCTATAAATCCATGAAGGCACATATAAAAATGATCAATTTTATTTCATGGGTTTCGAGGTAATTTAAACCCATAATCTTAGCTCATTCCTGCACACTACAAATAGCCATTTTACGGAAGGGCGAACAGCAAAAAGGAAGTGCCAGGCTTGGTCCTCCGTTTCCGGCTGCACAAATATCGCACCAGACCTCTCTGTGCCAACTTGTTCTTGCCATACATTTCCTTCTGCCGGGTCAGCTTTGATGAACCTCTGCCCTCCCAGGAGCCTGGCCACAAGACAGGATAATTTAGCCACTGAGCCAGGCCCACCCTGACCCTCTGTTGATGGCAGCTGAAGAAGGCCCTGGAGAGAGACTCATCAGTGACGATGAGGATGGAAGGGACCACCTCTACTGGTCCCTAGCTCCCACGCACAGAAGGGGAATCGGGTTGAAGATATTTTCTGGGACCTTTCCACAAGTTTCTGACATGAGTTTTATAATGGAAATTAAGTAAGGCACAGCATAGTTGAGGCACTTTCTCAAAAAACACAGCCAGTCCCTCGAATTCCTTTCCCCTGACACGCTGCTCACATGGAAGATTAGGATTATAGTAATCCAAAATTGGCCAAACTCCACTTGGAAGGGAAAGCACTGGGGTTTAGAAATTTATTAGAATGCAGACTCAAAGCCTAGACTGCCCTGGACTCAGTTCTTAGCTCTGTCGCCTGCAGGCTTTGTGGCCGCAGGCGAGCTCCCTGGCCTCTCCAAGCCGCGGCGCACGTGGCCGTGAAGCGGGGGCAGTCCCCCGGCAAGCAGAGCGGGCAGAAGCTCTAGAGACGAGCTCACAGACCACCTGCCTAGAACAGACCCCACGAGGAGAAGAGCTCATTATGATCACGTGATGCACTTATGCATAATAGAATAGAATCCTCGGAAGCTTAATCTCTTCCAAGATAGGGCGGAAGGGAAACGCAGAATCTGGAACAGACTCGAACTGGGATTTCACCCTAGTAGTAGGAACTTGGGGACCTGGAGAAGCTCAGCAGAGATGGGGAACAGCAGAGTCGGGAACAGCAGAGATGGGGAACAGCAGAGGCGAGAAAGTCTCAAGTTTTCTTCCCACCAATTGGGTGAATCCGAGTTCTTCATACGCATTTCAGTCCTGAAATCAAGAGACTGAAAAATCTATCTTAATCCTTTTCAACTCTCATGCCCCAAACCTGGGGGAACTTAACAAACAAATTACAGCCTCTAAAATGTGAGTACAGATGTGGGCCTCAGGATTATGTCCGTGCCAGTGCAAAGGGAGATAAACACTGACTGCTTTCTCTCTCTAAACTTCTGTCTTTTCAGAAAGAAAATGAGGTGTTTTAATTAAAACTCACTTGGTGACAGTAAAAAAAAAAAAAGGAAAATCTATATTTTCTTTTCTTTACAGTCTTACTTCCATCCTGCTTGTTTTCCTTTAAAGAAGCCGGTACAGTGTAGAAAAGGAGGGTCTTAATCTGGTTTCTAGTGCCACCTACTGGGCAATATGGGAACTACAGCCGGCCACCGGCAGCCTTACCGAGATGACACCATAGGGCACGGAGCCGGGCTGGACGGCAAGGTCTCAGTCAATTACTGTGCTTGCAAGGTGGATGAGGCAAAGACACAGCCTAAGGCACCACAGAGGCGACAGCATGTGCAGGTGAGTCCCCATGCAGATTTACTGATACAAGAAGGGCCCTGATCTTTAAGAAAATGAATGTCAGATGAACTCAAATGTCATCCTCACACTTGAGGATGACAAGATAGTCCTCAAAAGCAATAAAAACGAACAATAAAAGTCTAACTTCTCTACGTGTTGTGGAGAGGCCATATGGGGCAGTGGTTAGCGACGAGGTCTGGAGCCAGACGGCCTTTCCATCCGGGCCGGGCGCTGTTAACTATTAGGTGTGAAATGCTAGGCAGGAGGATATAATGCCGGCCCCACAGAGCTGCTGCGGGGGAGAGATGAGGTGAGGCCCAGAAAGCACTTCGAATGGAGCTGGACCGTACACAGTACGTGGGGAAATGTGAGCGTTATCTGCTCTCAGACCGCGAGGGGACTGGTCTCAGGGAAACAGTCCGTCAGGACCTGTGCATGAGTCCCAGCCAGGCACCTGTAGGACAGTCGCTTCACCTCTCTGAACCTCAGTTTTCTCATCTGCAAGACATGAATAATACCCATCCTACCGGATTCCGGGGCTCACATGTAGGCACACGCTTTGGTCAAACAGAGAGCACCACACACACGCAAGGCACCATCCGCACAGTGAAGCATGCAAGGCTTACGGTCAGGATGGTGGGGGTTACGAACGCCCAGCAGACTTTCCAGAAAATGTTTGGCTGGAATCCAATCATCATCTCTATATCTTCACAGAATCTTTGCAAGCCTGCAAACAGACAAACGGAGATGGAGCATGAGGCGCAGTGGCAGGGGTGGGGTGGGGGCAGGGGACAGCGATAGAGCCCCTCACTCAAGTGCCATGAGCCAGGGACGGGCCCAGCCTGGTGTCAACACAACCCTTAGTATGCAGGAAACCATCAGACAAATGACTAGGAGATTGGTGCAAATTGAACATTTAAATAGATATGAAATACTCTCTGCAGTGAGGTTAAAAAATGTCATCCCACAGTGGCATCCAGACCAGCCAGGGCTCTGAGCACGGCCACAGCCCGGCATATTCACCTTTGTGGCTGTTTTCTCCCTTGGCCTTATGTGCTTAGCAACACGTCGGGCAAAACCAATTAAGACCATGGTCATTAAGCACAGGGTCTTAGGAAAGCCCTGAGATTTAGGGCAAGAGTCACTCTCCACTGGTCTTTTTGTCCCTTGCCCTCCCAAGGACGCTCTTCCAGGAGTCAGTTGATCTTTGCTCTGTGTGAGATGACAACAGCAGGCAAAAACCAATGGGAAAGTCCAAGTGCTCATCGCCCACTTTGTTGGAACCCAAAGGATTGCTGTCTTCTTGGCCACTGGCACTTCACTAGAGTCACGAGCAGGGGAGAGTTATTCTCACGGCCCCACTAACCACCATCCCGTACACTCTTGGTTTGGGAAGGTTTTAAACCACTCCAGAAAGGAAAAGCCACTGAGGAATGTATTCGAATGGGCAGTTTCTTGCATTGTTCCCTGAGCTCATCAGAGGCATGGCTTTCCCAGAACGGCAGCATCACTGTGCTGAAGGGACCTGAAAGGGACCCAAGATCAAGCTCCTTCAGAGTCAGCAGTTCTGACCGGGGGCCCAGCAGTGTCAATGTAAATCTCATCCCTTCATCCTCTGGGTCATTTATGTGAAGAGTGGGGACCTGCAGGTCAAGGGGCCAGAGGTCGTCTTCAGGGAAAGCCCTCACTTGCCCTCGGCCTCCTCCCATCGAGAAGCATCCCCTACACATCCTCAGGCACCTTCCCAGAGACTATGGCCACTTGCTCCTCCAGCTCCCAGGCTCTCACAGCCCCCTGGGATTTCTGGGTCCTCCACCCTCAGCCCCATGAGGAGCAGTGGAATTTGGTCCCTTGGGGCTCCCCTTCCAGCCTTCACTTCCATGCCTGACCCTTTGCCATCACCTCCCTCTGTACCGGCTGTCCTTGCTGCCTTCACCTGACCAGTGCCCCCTCCCTGCCCCCACCTCAGCCCAGACTGATCCTTCCTGGTCCTGTTCCCTCCACACCTGCTCTCCACTACGAGGGCGTGGGGAAGGATGGTGTGAGGCAAGAAGACAATCTCTTGCTGGGGCAGAAAGCAGAGACGGGGGTCTTCAGGGAACAGAAGAGTTCATCTCAGCCCCTTAAAAAAATGGCCCCAATAGTGTTGCATCTTGATCTGGGCGCCAGTTACACGGGGTGAAAATCTGAGCTGCACACTCAACAGAGGTGCTCTTTCCGGTATGGATGTTATACTTCAATTTTAAAGTTTACCCCAAAAAGTCCATCAAGCCATAACTGCCAAAACAATGGATCCTGAGACCTCTCATGGCCTTCAGCTCCCGGCATGTGCTTCTACTCCATGCCAAGTCCAGACCCAGAAGGTCAGCCAGCCCTCAGGAGGCCCCGCTGACAACTGCCGTCACGCAGGACAGCCAAGCCTCGGGTTTGCTCGAGAGCATCCTGTGCTGGGAATGGTGTCAGGAACCCGCCAGAGGCAGCTTTTCTCAACTCTCTCTCACATCGCTCAGGTTGCAGCTGAGCCTGCTGCTCGACTTTAAGGTACCCCTGGTCGGGGTCAACCACAAACGTGCAGTGGGAAGAGCGCTGGACCAGGAGTGGAGACCCGCGAGTTGAACCCTATTCTGCCTCTAATGCACTGTGTGGCCTGAGGGAGGGCATGACCCCTCCTGAGCCTTTGCAGCTTTACTGGGGAGAATGGGCCAAATGAGCTCTTAGGGCCTTTCCAGGAGGTCAAGCCATGATGCAAGGAGGCTCCAGGTTGCTTCCTGGGTCCACCAGCAAGAACTGCATGTCTTGAGTTAGTTGGCCTGACCATCTTTGGATTTGTTTAATTGCGTATTTCCTTTAGTGTCATCAAATACCTTCAAATGAGTGGCGTCTGGACACTAGACACCCTGGGCATAAGTGAGGGGAGAGAACTAAAAGAACAAAAGTCAAAGCTGAGGCCCTCAAACACACACGTGACACTGAAAGCAGTGCTTCAAAAAAGATTCTAGAACTTTCTGCTATCAGTATCAATCCTGTTGCCCGATTATTCCTCTCCACTAAACCATCCCCAAGAGACGATGCTGTGCGGCTTGACTGGTGAAACTGATGTGATAGGGTTCAAGGTTAGACCCGAGGAAGACCTACAGATAGCCTCTTATGGGAGGAGGAGAGTGGTGGTGAAGTGCTCAAGCTTCCCGGGAGGGGACAAGGAGCTGGAGTCAGAGCTGGAGGAAGGGGCGGATGACGAGCGCTCAACCAGAGGCAGTCTGACGCAGAGGAGCGGTCCCAGGACTCAGAGGGAGAAGGCTTGGGTTCCAGAGCCAGCTCGGTCCCTGGAAACTCATCTCCCTCTCTAGGCCTCTCTGGACACCTGGCCTCTGCCTCCAACAAGGCTCCAGGTCCCATGAGTTCTCTGCCAACTCACAGGCTGGTCCTGTAGATGCAGCCCAGGGGCACCAGCAGGACACCCTTCTACCTCCTGCTCATTCCTGAGTCAGGCTCTCCAGTCGCTCCATCCACCTGACTCACTCCACCTGTATCCCTCACTGAGTCAGTGGACTCCTTCCTCTTAGGCCTTTGTTGATATGGCTTCCTCTGCCTACTCTGTCCCTTCCGCTGACCCAAAGCCCTCCTGTCTTCAAGGCCTAAGTCTTGATAAAGGAATCGTTCATGGAGCCTGCAGCATGTGCACGGAGACCTGCCTACCTCACGGCCGTGAGCCTGGAAGGTAAGATAGTCAGGCTCCAAAAGGGATCTGAGCAACTGCTTCTCACTGAATTCGCACAAGAACAGCAGGGGAAAAAAAGAGTGAACTTGTGGCTTCTTTTCTGGACTCAACTAACAGATCTTGGACTCAGAAATCTGCCTACAACAAGCTCCATATAAGCAACCAATCCTGAACGGGGAAGCCAAGGACTTGCTTCAACCAACCAAGCCCTTTCACTTCTGCAGCTTTGGGGCATGTGTCTTCGTAAACCACGCCCTTGCCCTCAGTCAGGCATTGGTCTTCCAGGGGCTGCTCTCTCGGCTGTGTGACGAGGGCCAGCCTCCTGGCACTCAGGCTGTGCACTCACGGGGCCCCATGCGCAGAAGGGCGCAGCACCTGGATTAACGCTCTCCTGTCACCATCTTGAAATTTGCCATAATTTTTTAACAAGGGGCTCCACATTTTCATCCCACACCAGGTCCTACAAATTATGTCTCCAGTCCTGGGTGTACCTCAGATTATTCTTTTACAGTTCATGGGAAGGCCCCATCTCTCAGAGCCAAAACCTATGTGTTGGCTCAGATTTTCCCCACCTCGGTTAGCAATTAACTCAACCTACCCCTGACTAAGTGTTTTATCTCTGAGATGCCACCTTCTCGAGGTTTTCCTGGCTACTCTGACCTTCCTTTATCGCTGGGCGGCAAAAGTGCTCCCAGACAAGGATGCCTGGCTTAGTACCGACCTTCTTCTCAATGTGTTAAGTGGGTTTGCTCTTCCTGGTAGCTAGGGGGCGAGTCGCAGGAACGTAGGGAACTACCCCGCCCTCCCCACTTTCCCAGGAGCACACAGGCATAAGCACTGCCTCAGTATCTCTTCATCCCTCAGTTACCTGTGTGAGTTAGTGATAGACTGACGCCTCTCATTCCTACCATCTACTGAGCCCCAGCAAAGGGAGCTGGGGACCTCACACCCTGAAGGAGACGGGGACAGTGACAGTTCGGCCAAGAAGACAGAAATGGAGGTCATGGAGGGGAATCATGGGGAACAAAATGGAGTTCTGGGAGGATTTTTTTGTTTGTTTTCATTTGCACTAAACTCGGACAAGTTCAGCCCGCAGGATGGGCAACAAGAGCTGAAGAATGACATACTCCATCACGTAAAAGCCACTGCCTGGTGTGACTCTAACATTCCTCGAGGATGTGGAGCAAGACAGTCTGCGGGTGGGATGGGAAACAAGTAACTGATGAAAGTGGAAAAGAGAGCAAGACAATGGCATATATCGTGCTTTGGGGGGAAACGCACGGCATAGAGCCCAGCAGATGGCGGTCAGGAGGTCTTTGTGGTGGCAGTTCAATCACATGGACCCCCAGCCCGAAGACGCCTGTGTGGGCTCCCAGGAAAACGCAGCTCACTTTCTCAAAGGGACCATCTAGGTAAAAGTCTGCTGAAGGCAGTGCTCCTACCCCAAGCCCAGGGAGCTCCGCTCTCAACCTGACTCCCTCAAACCCGGATCCTGGCCTTTGAGGAACGTTGACGTGAGAACTTGCATCAGCCATTTCAATCTAAAGACAAAACTTGAAAATTACACCTACCGTATTTCAAATGTTTGAATGACATCCTCTAGCATCTAGAGTCTAGAGATTACTAGAACCAAGAAGAAAACACAAAGCTCTGTCATTCACTTGCTTATTTTTTTAAATCTGCAGCCAGGACAGGAGCGCATTACATCAGTCAGGTTCATTTTCCTTCTTCAGGGTTCAACTGCCTAAAACTAACCTTGTGTTAGTTTCGGACCTCATCATCTCGCTAAAGAACACACTGTCCTCTGGAGTGTAAATTACGTATTGGTGAGGCTTTTCCTTTCATCGCTAACAATTATGTCAGCTTATTTCAAATATTTCTTCTAAGACTCACTTCTTAAAATCCCTTCCAGGTCCAAATCAGAGGTTCACACCCACATCCAATGTCAAGTTCATCCTGAGCCCAGCACAGTCGACCTTGTTCCGGAGGCTGGCCCAGCCCTCTCAGAGACCAGGCCACCTCCTGGGTGGTCCCCAGGAGAATCAGCCAAGCCCAAGGATTGAAGCACTTAGGATTTATTTTTTCCTTCAGAATCAAGAAATCTACTACTGGATTTATACGGGGGCATGGGAGGAGGTGCTATTTAACTTCTAAAACAGAAACTGTAAAAGGTTTCTCTAATGATGCTTGTAAACCACACTGAACAGCCCTGTCGTAGAGGAAAGAACTGTGCAAATGCGCCGTTTGTGGCAGTTAGCAGAGAGGATACAGACAGCGGAGGAGGCAGTGAGATGGCTCCCTGCACCTGGCCAGTGCCAGGAATGAGATGCTCTCCTGCCTTTACCTGCAGACCATCTGAGGACTTGAGCTTACGCGTGACCCACAGGGGCTGCGTTTCCAAAGGAGGGTGTCGGAAGCTCGCCTGGCCTCTCCATGGCGAAGTCCTTGGTACCTGGGCCAAGAGTGCAGATTCCTGGTGGCAGATGGACTGGGCTCCTGCCACTCTCACTGGTGCAGAAAGCTCTTTGAAGCCTCACCCACCCTCGGGCTGGAGGTCTCAGTTGCAGCATCGCTGCAGGCTCCAGGCTGGCCCATCAGCCCAAAGCTGGCAGTTTGGCCTCTGATCCCATCAGCACAGTGGCATGCGAGCCCTCTTCTTTGGCCAGAAACTAAACTCTCCCTGCGGTGGGGATGTGATCTCCAGTCTGAGAAAAATTCCCCTCCACCAACACCCAGAAATGACCGCAGTGTCTTCCTGTTTCTGGGGCGCCCATGTTTTCCACGAGAGGTTTCCTTTCTACATCTTGATTCCCCTCCTGCCCCTCCATTTCAATGAATTTAACAATTACATTAAAAGCAAGATGCTCATGTCAAGGATACCTGGTGGGCAGGGTGAGGCCACTGGGCACCCCCCCCAACTTGGAAGGCGGAGCTCTGCAGAGCCCTCGGCCTGCCCCCCTTCCTCTGGGCATCTGTCCCTCACTCACATCCAGCATTCCCAGTGACGTCCTGCCTTTCCTTCTAGCTCACAGCATGGTGCTTTCTCTTTTTGGGTTTGAAACAGTTAGACAGTCTGACCTAGCATTTTCACCGTGCTGGTTTTTGCCGTAGAGGCCTTATCTATATTAGGGGGCCTTCGTCCAGGGACGATTCTGAGCAGACTTTCAGGTGCAAAGAAGTCAGTAGGGCCTTGAATCTGACAGGTCACCCGGTGAGACGGCCAAGCACAAACACCTCCACACAAAGGGCAAAGATGGCATCTACTGAATTACAGTTCCTATTGTTCTTGATAATGACCCCACTGATTATGGGATGCAGGTTGCTATAGTGATGGTAGGAAAGACTAAACTGTAAAGAAATGAAAATTTATTCCTGGGAAAAGCTGGGATTGAGATGTTGCATGGGATCAGAGGCTCCCATGATGCTAATAAAGTTTCCTAAGGGTCTGTGAGCCTGGTGGTCTCTTTTCTCACTACGGTATCCGGGGACAAGCTGTGGAGCTCCACCTCCCCTCAAGCTACACGGGGACTGCAGCTACCAAGACCAGGGAGTAATTTCATACCTGCGAAGTAGCCTTCCTCCTCCCTAACCTGGCCATTGTCCCCAGACATTAACTGTTCACATGCAGAGTGCACCCAAAGGCAGGGTCCTAGGAGTTTCTGGGACAAAGATTTCTGAGTGTCACCATCAGTCACCTCTTGTTTCTGTATTAAATCTGGATCACAGTGGTCCTGAGGCAAGTATGGAAATAAAGGTGCAACTCTCTTATGTTTCCTAAATAGCTGCCATTAAACACTTTCATCGTCTTATTAAAAATGGAAGACCCACTTGCCATGGACACGTTACTGACACTAAGTTCTCCCTGAGCAGCAGGCCCTGTGGTTCCCTTACCGTACACGTAGGAGATCCCCACGAGCTCAAAAATGGCGATGATGACGAGGGCATAGGAGGCAGCGTACGTGTCCACAAGCTGGAACATGTAAATTCCACCCTAGTACGGAAGAGAAACAGCAGCATCAATGACCCTGGACCTAGGCTCGCTCCCTCTCCTAACAGCCAATCCTTCCATCCTGAGGAGTCAGGGACAAACAGGAGTCAGAGGACCTCCCCTCCCATTGACAGCAGTAACCTCAACCCGGTCCAGCATGCGAGCTGGAGGCCTTGCCGTTTAACAAAGCAGTCCCACAAGAGACTTGGAGCCAATCAATAGAACAAGCACAGAAAAGATCTAACATCTTACTCTTAAAAGGCAAAGGTCAGCATCTGAAGATGGATATGTGAACGCAGCCAGACCGCTTCGTTTTTGCTTCAAACAACAGATAATCATTTCTCCCCATACATCTGCATCTGATTGACCTTCTTATGACTTTGAGGTATTGCTGGGCATTCCTCATGCATCCCCCTGCATCTTTACCTCAGTCTTTAAGTCTCCCCACAACAGATGAGGCTTAGAGACCATCTTATTCCAATCCATCATTTTACAGATGAAGAAACTAAGGCCCAAAGTGGGGCCTTGCTCAAGGTCACAGAGAGAGCAAAAGCAATATATATACGGAGTGAGCTAACACACAATTCGTCAAGACACTCAGGACCTCAGAAGGAACTCAGTTGGCTGTAGACTCTCATGTATGACGAGTAGTCAACTGGGAATTTCGGATTTTCATGTATTCCATTTTCTTAAAGTAGGACACATCTGCCTCGTTGGCTCAAGAAGCTACATCTCAATTACAAAGATGCTAGAAGTATCACTCACAGCCGAGGTGACATATTTCCCTCTGTGGTAGGAATCTCTAACTAACTGGTACCATCCACGTGGGAATGGCAGTGATTTGGCCATTGTCATGATGTCTGTGAGCTGGGTGAAAGGACAGACAGCCATCAGGCCTCCCACCTGTCCCACCCCCAAGCCTGTGCCCACGGGGCAGCTTACCTGAGTGATCATTGGAAAGCCCATGATGAAGAAGCAAATGCAGCAGCCCAGGGTGAAGACCGGCTTGTGTGTGCGCAGGTACTTGGGGAACTCATCCGAGATGGAAGTCACTATGGTCTCGATGGTGGCAAACTGGAATGGTGCCAGGAAGGGACGTCTGAGACAAACCACCCAACCCAGAAGACGCCATCGAGTCCTTTGTGCTGCCCACCCAGCAAGGTGGTATTTGCAATAGGATTGGTTGCAGGACTGCATCCTCTTTATGGATGCAACAGGCCTCACTGGGGTCTAACCCCTGAGGCCAGCTAGGGGTCTCCAAGCAGGATGTGAGCTTTAGAAACTGTGTTCCCAGCCCCCAGAGACTGCCCTCGTACTCTTCCATCAGACAGTTGACGCCCACTGCGTATTCATGAGATGTAAATTCCTCCCCTCCAGTTTACCTGGCACTTGATCTTTCACTTGAGGAAAAGCCCTCTTTGCACCCAACTACTAAACTCTGAGTGCCTGTCAGCATGATCTGTAGTGGTCTCAGCCCACAGCAATTTCCCTAAAATTGACTTCACATTATTCTCCCTTATCTGGCCCCACAGAATTTGCTTTGGCAAAAAGATACCAACACAGGAAGTACACAGGCTAAAACTTGATGGAGAATAGAGAGAGGGATCCAGGGAGAGAGTATAGCTGTTTGTGCCGTCACATGAGTCACCCACAAATGGGGGGGTATCCTGAGCCCTGCACAGGTTCCTTCCCTCCATTGCTCAGGGAAACATTCAAGCACCGCTTAGCACCCCCTCCGCCCCAGGCTGGATGCAGGACCCAGGGAAAGTGGTCATAGAAGGACCCAGGGCAGGGAGGGAGGGGAAGGGCTCACCATAGTGTCAAGTCCAAGAGTGAGGAGCATCAGGAAAAAGATGATGGCCCAGAACGGAGAGAGGGGCAGCCTGGTTAAGGCTTCCGGGTAAACCACAAATGCAATGCCTGGGCCTGGAAGGAACAAGATGGATGATTTCAGACAGGCCCAGCTCCGGGCCCTCTCTTCCTGGAAGCCCTCAGGGCCCTCTCTCCACGGAGATCCTGAGCTGTTACTTATTATATGCTGCCTCCTCTGCTTGTTATTTTTTCACTCATCTCTGTCCGTTCCCCCAGTTAGACCTCAAGCTCCCTGAAGGAAGAGACCAGGGCAACTCAAAGGAGAGGCTCGAGAACAGTGCCAGAGCAGAGACTCCAACTCCACGGCCAGGCTGCGTCCACACAAATAACACGCAAACCGCCATCTTTGCAGTGATGAGCTGGAGAGAACATCATAATTACCCTCTAGAACAGCAGTCCTCAACCAGGGGGGATTCTGGCCCCCAGGGGACATTTGGTGATGTCTGAAGACATTTGTGGGTCTCACAGCTGGGATGGGAAGATGATTCCTGATGCTAGCGGGTAGAGGCCAGGGATTCTGCTAAACATCCCTGAATGCATGAGTCATTGCCCACAAAAAAGAATTATTTGACCCAAACGTCAATAGTGCTGAGGTTAAGAAACCTGCTCAAAAGGTTAGAACACACCCAGAAGGACATCATGTCCCCCTTTCACTACCCTTCCTCCTGGTCGCTCCTCCAGGAGCGCCATTTACATACAACATGAATCCATGGAACGCTTTTAGGACCTTGCCCTACAAAGGCTTGTAAAGAGGGGGCTACATCCGTCCCCAGTAGGGGAGAGGGGTGGAGAAGCATACTGTAGGAGGGAAGAGAGTCCAGGCTCCAATGGTCAGATAGATCTGGGTCCAAATTCAGATTCCATGCCTCACCAGCTGTGCAACCCAGGACAGGTTTTTAATTTCATAAGCCTCTATTTTCCCGTGTGTAAAAGGGGGATCACAATAGTCCCCCTCAAGGTAGGTACGAGAAACAAATGAGGAAACACAGGTACAGCACTGAGGCCAGTGCCTCGCACGCCAGCCACACTCACAGAACGTTAGCTTTTATGACAAGCGTGCGATGAACCTAGCAATTAGCGGTCTGACTCTGGTTTTCCCAAGAACATGGGCTTTAGTCTCAGTGAAGGAGGTCTGAGCAGCAATTTCTCTGCTGTCACGAAGGCCACCGGGCCGTTCCCGTCTGCTCGTGACCTGCCTGGGCACAATGCTGTACCCACGCTGGCTGAGGACCCCAGCTGTGAATGTCCTTGTAGGCAGAAAACTGAATGACAACAGGCAGGGCCAGTGAAGGCTGGGGTAACCCGCGGCCAGCGCACGTCTGGAAACCAGATATTCCAACACCTGGGGTTTTTAGAACTCAAGGATAACGGCACTTTTTTACAGCGGAATTTATCAGGTTGTTAGTTCCTAATGTTGCCGAGGGCCTTGCGGCGTTTAAAATATCAAGCCTTGAACGCCTGAGACACCCCGCTTTATGTAGTTATTGAACAGTCGGTGGAGGCAGCCTCAGAAGGCTCCCCATGAACCACAAAAAGAGTAGTTTGTGTTAAACTACAGTTCAAAATAGGTCTCAAATGCAGAACAGCGAGGAAGCCAGCACCGTGACAGTCAGCCCGCAACATGGACAGGAAGGTCTCGAAACGGCCACCGCTGGAGGGCCTCGGCTGATTGCTTCAATAAGATGCAGCCCCTCGGCCTTCACTGCTCTCTCAGGGGGAAAGGATGTCAAAATATTGGGCCTGCTGCAGTTTCAGCTGCCTCCCTAAAGGACGCAGGTGAAGGCATCATTTTCAGCAAACTCGGTTTATCCCAGCTGCCTGGGGAGTGGATTTTCAAAGTCCATTTTTATATCATTTTGTACAGTTCAGTTTATTTTTTGGGAAAGATCGATTATCTGAGCCACAGTGGAGTTTTCCCCAGATGAAGCCCACATGTCTGACAGAGCCTGGTTCTGTCTCTCTCCTCTCCCACTGGGAGATGGCACAGGCCAGGGCTGGAGTGCAGGCTCTGTTCCTCTCAGACCAGAAAACCGGCTCTGCCTCTCGGTAGCTGGGGGCCCCGGGGGAAGACCTGAGCTCTCTGCACAAACCTCAGTTTCCTCATCCACACGATGACGATAACAGTACCTGCCCTCAGAGAGTTTCTGTGAGAGTTAAATGCGCCGATACAAACACAGGGCCCAGAACAACACCTGGACACAGCGAGAACTCAGGAAGCAGAGAGCATTTTTACTTTTCCCAGGAGATGCTATCAAAGGGGCTCTGCATGCCAGCAACTTGGCCAGGGCCCCCAGAGACCCACAGTGACAGCCTCCTTTTCCCAGGGAGCCCCTGAAGGCATAGCCTGGAGCTCTGGTCGATGTAATGCATCAAGGCCTGCAGCACCCCTGGAGGGCCACCCTGCAGTGGAAGCTCTTACAAGTGGATGAGCTCTCAGAGGACACCCCGCCTGAAGACCGGACCTTGGGGCAGAAGGGTTGGCATCCAGGTGACACACGGACCGCTGCATGGTCAGTCCTGTGTAAGAGTGTTCATTTCGATCAGCAGGGTCTCTGAACTACTGGGGGCAAGGGAACCAGGGCAGCCCTTCCTGGTGGTCTGGGTACCTGAGAGTCACCCCCTGACCCGGGAACTCCAAATACAACACGCACATTTGTGTCCATCTACTCTAGTCTAACCCGTCTCTCTGCTGTTGGATGGGCATCTGGGTGGGGCTTCGGGCTGGATTCTGTGCATGACTCAGTGCTCCACAGGGACCAATGACGATGCTGGGAGATGACTTCCCAGGAAGCTGCTTTTCTGGAGTAGATGCCGGAGAAGAACAAGCCCCCTCGCCGGTGCCCATCGTAAAAGCAGAGCACAGCCGGGCTCAGCACCAATCCCACCCTCAGCCCCCAAAACTCTGATATGGCCGAGATTTGGGCTTAGTGACTTTGACAAGAATGCTCCCTTAGAAGGGAGTGGTCAACGAAACAGAATAGTACGCAGTCACCAAAGAGAACCTGTTTTGGCCTAGAGACCAAAACGCAGTAACTAATGTTGGGTCAGCAAAAATGGACTGAATGTCTCTACGCCAACGTCACCCAGTTAGGAGGGAGTGGGGCTGGCTGCAGGCAGACCCGACCCCAACTCTCTGTCCTGTGTTCTGCAGGCATTACACTGGGGGAAGACAGCCCAGTCTGCCAATCGCACAGAAGAATGCGGACAAGTTCAGCTGGGCAGGGAGCGCCGCCCCGCGGGGTCTGGGAGAGGCCTCATGGGCCGCTGCCCCCGCCCTGTGGGAAAAGAGGCCCACAGTCCCCGTGCCAGGGACAGTGGGCGATCACCGAGTATTACCACATTAGGACCCATCAGAAGTGCTTGTCTCCTTGTTAAAATCAGAGGAAATGGAAAAAATCTGGAAAGGGCAAGTTTCAAGCGGAAACATAGGCAATTGTCTGATTCTTTTTATATAAAGGAAAAACAAAATTCTATTTGGGTTTTAGCTACACGTGCCTGCATCCCCTTTCCTGGGGCAGGACGGAGCTCAGAAGAGAGAACTAACATGGCCTACATCTCAGGAATCACTGTCTCTGACAACTCGGCCACTGGTTCACAAGGAGCTCAGTAATGTCACCAAAACAACAGGACACTCAAGTCTGCTAGAAGGTGGGCAGGACCTGGCTGCCCCAGCTACTCTGCTGGGAGGAAAGGAGGACAGCTGGGGTGGCCCACGTGCCCCAAAGACAAAGCCTCCTCTCCCCTCTCCCTTCCCTCCCTGCTCCTCAGGGAGCTGAGAATTCTCAACCCAGGAGGGGCATTGCTCAGCTCCCAGGTTCCTCTAATTTAGTGCACTGCTGCAGAACCAAACGTCCCTGGAGGGTTGACACTCTCCCCAGAGACAGATAATTACCCCCTGGAACTCCCTGTGTCTTTAACTCTTTGAGGCCTGCAGGGCCCATCAGCGCTGCTGAAGCAGTAATTAATTATCCTCCAGGGAGCCAGAAGAGGGCCAGCAGCCCCCCAAGTGGGGGACATTTCCAGGGCTTAGTTCTCTCAAGTGCTGGCGCCTGAGCCATTACCTGAGAACTGCAGGGAGCTCCTTGAAGAAAGATTGTGCACAGAGAAGCTGCTCACATGTACACACTCTGGATTGTCCAGGGCCCACAGTCACGTCCCCCGGCCCCTGGTACGGCCCCGACACCGAGGCATCCCATAAACGTCTGATTAGAGAATGATCATAATACAAAAGCCACATGGAAATCCCTTAATCACCAAAGCCCACTAATCACGCAGATCCTTTGTAGAAGAAGGCCACGTGGAAATAGAGTTAAATAAAAATATTAAACAATCTCTACAAAACGCTATGCCAGAAATATGGATTAAATGAGATAAAAAGGAAAGCTCTCTGTAAACTCGAAAGTACCATACAAATGTGAGCCATTAATACAGGGATCACTGAGTAAAGAGTGAACATTCTACTCCCTCCCACCACCACCGTCCAACCTTCCACCCCCCGGGAAACAAGCTTGCAGGTCTGTCTTGCTGACTAGACAGAGGGCACATTCGAGCTAACGATCAGGCACGTGCTGCTCTGAGGTCAGTGCTCTGATGAAGCGTTAGCACTGGGTCTCTGCGGTCTCTGCAAGGAATGCCCGCCTGCAGCAGGCTGTGCCCCCATCAGCTCCAGGACACTGGTTACTCTTAGAAGCCTCTGCCCGTACTGAGCAGGTACAAGCCTTACTCATGTGGGCTGGAGCTGAATTAAGAGATGAAACGGAGAGCGAAGGAGAGGTGAGGTAAGCAGGACACGGGCCTTGACAGCAAGCCCTCTGATTAGGGACCCGCCAGCTCCAGCCCTGCAGGAGCTTCCTATGCAAGCTTGTCTCGGTCCCTCGGCAAAGGGGATCTGGGCTGCCCCACCCTCCATCCTGTCCCCAAAGACCACCCTCCCAGCATGGCACAAACTAGGAACTCATGGGGCAAGCCTGGATCCCGCCCTGCCACAGCAGGGGGACAGCTACAATGTACCTTGGTCCGCCACGTTCTCGATGTTGACCTTGCGTTCATTGGCCATGAAGCCGATAACCGAGAAGATGACGAAGCCGGCAAAGATGCTCGTGGCACTGTTGGTGCAGGTTACGATGAGAGTGTCCCTGGCAGGGAGAGATAAGAGTTTGATGTCGGATGTGCTCGGTGAGGTGGACGGGCCGGGGGAAGGATGCAGAAATGTATGCCCGTGTGTTTGCGTGTGTTTGTGTACACGTGTGCATGCCCATTTCTGAACTCGTGTTCACTGCAGGCTGGCCCTGTTGACATTTCTTCACAAGGAAACGAAGAACCAGTCCTGACCGCAGGCTCCCTCGGGCTGATTTTACAAGCACCAAAAGGCTCAAAATGATCTCCCCTACTGCCCCGCTCCAGGGCCTCTGGGTCAAGGCGCTGGCTCAGGTGCAGCAGACGCCGGTGGGCCCGCATTGCAGGGGCAGAGGCAAGTCTGTCCATCAGAGCAGAAGCTGAGGGATGGGGCCTTCCAGGCCTCCAGGACAGGAAGCACGTATGAGAGAAGAGAAGGCAGTGGGACCAGGAAATGCCACCAGGTATGGGGCCTGCCTGGGGTTGGGGCGAAAAGGGGAGAAGGGCAAGCGGGGAGGGGAGGGGAGAGAGCAGCACGGGCCTTTGTCCCGGCGCCCTCTGCTGGCAATGTTGCTGCGGTTCTCCAGCCTGCCTCTCTGCCATCCTAGACTCAGAGGGGTGACAGCTAGATGGAGCCTCAAGGCCAAACCCAAATACGGATTCTCTTACACATTACCGGCATGACCTTGAGCAAGTCACTTTCTTTCCACTCTGATTTTAAATGGTGGCAATGACACCCTCTCCCTGGCAGGTTGTTATGAGGACAGAATCAGATGACATCCGCACAGCACAGGATCTGGCTCCTGCCTTGTCCCACCCGTCAGTTTACTGATGGGGAAACGGGGGCCCACTGAAGGTAAGGGGCTAATTAACAGGAGGTCAGGATTTGAATCCAGACTTCCTGCCTCCCAGCCGCATGTTCTTTCTGCCACACCCCACGGCCTCGTTTCTAACGGAGCACAGAGCAGTGCTCCCCGGTTGATGGTGTTCACACAGGTCCAAGGGTCACGGGTTAATGAGTGGCTGTGACCAAAGACGTTCAGACACCTTCGTCTGCATTCCAGCTATTACGGGCTGAGCTGCGTGCCCCCAAAATCCTATGTTGAAGTGCTAACCCCTAGTTCCTCATAGTGTGGCCGTATTTGGAGACTGGGCCTTTAGTCAGGCAATTAAGTTAAAAGCAAGTCATTCGCGTGGGACCTAATCCAATAGGAACTGGCGCCTCACAAGAAGAGGAGATCAGGACACAGACACACGCACGGAGGGAAGACCAGGTGAGGACACAGGGAAAGATGGCTGTCTACAAGCCAAGCAGAGAGGCCTCGTGAGACACCAACCCTGTCGACACCTTGACCTTGGATTTCCAGCCTCCAGAACCGTGAAAAATTACTTGCTGGTGTTTAGGCCTCCCACTCTGACATTTGTCAAGGCAGCCCTAGCAGGCCAGTACTAAGGCTCTCTCCAGTCTGGCCTCGGCCTATTCTCAGACCCCTCCCCTCCCAGCCTCGTGTGCACACACCTTCTGCTCCCGCCTCGCACCTCCACCACACTCATTCGCATCACGCCCACCTCTAGCCACTTCTGCCACCTGAAATACAACCCCTCCTCCCCTGCACCTGCTGGAAGTCGACCCAGCATAGATCTCACCTCTGTGAGGCCACCCCAGCCATCCTGGGCCACAGCTCAACTGTCAGCTCTTCCTCTCAGCTCACAAAATATCTCATACATTGTTAAAACTAATAATATTAATAATGGCAACTGCCATTTATTGAGCAGTTACTGTGTGCGAAATATTGCTCTAAGAATTTGCATACATCATCTTTTACCTCTCAACAAAAGATTATAATCTGCATTTTATAATGAGAAAACTGCCCATGTCTTGGAGTTTTAGTAGACGGTGAAGTCATAACTCAAATGCAAGTCCATCTCAGTCCAAGGTTCTTTCTTTCTTTCTGGTTTTAATCAGCCCCCCAAAGAGAAGGGGCCTTATTTTCTTATTGCTTGTCATAGACATATTTAACTTTCAGATGTCACCTCCTCCAGGAGCCGTCCAGGCTCTCTCAGGTCCTCGGGACTCCAGAGGCCCCCTAACATCACACTATCCACGTGTCCCCTGAGGATCCCGTCTAGACATATAGATTCCTGGGCCTGCCCCACCTCCAGACATTCTGATCCACAGATCTGGGGGGGACTCAAAGTTCGCATTTTTTTCCAGCTTTTTTGAGGTATAACTGACAAAATTGCAATATATTTAAAGTGTGCAATGTGCTGATTTGCTATGCATAGACATTGTGACGGGGACCCCACCACCGAGTGACTTCACACCTCCATCACCAAGTGCTCTTTCCACCGTGCCACACTGCATTTCTTACGGGGGTCTCTAGAGAAATATTTGTCGAGTGACCGAATGACCCTCCTCCATCAGTGTATCCACGGACTAGGTGGCTCACAGATGACCATCCCAGGACACAGCTAGCTGCACAGCAGCTCCCTAGAGACTCAGTTCCATCCCGTGTCGGGGGCAGCAGTGCAAGTTGGGGTCCAGGCCACCAGCAGCCAGCAGCTAGGCCTTAGCAGAGGGCTCCACCTGTGCCAGGTGAAGTGCGAGGATGAGGGTTCAGGTGTCTGGTAACGCAGTCCCTTGTTCTGTCCCCAGGCCCTCGTCCCGCTCACCAGCCCCCTTGGGGACCGGAAGAGCCTCCACGTACCTGTAGCAGTTGTTGTGGAATTTGTTGTAAGAAGACAGAGTGATCAGGCCTCCCCACGCGGCAGATAAGGAGAAGAAAATCTGAGTGGCAGCGTCTTTCCACACCTGGGAGGCAAGAGAGGAGAAGATTCAAGGTCACCGGGGGAGGCTGGACCGGGAGAGGGGGGGTCTCCCACGACCCGTGCACATCATCCCCGGAGGAAAGACAGGCAGGACAAGATGACTTTGCCAGCAATATAAACAAGAAACAGACATCATTTTCGCTGGAAGCCAAAAAGGCAGTAAATTACTGGGGAGACTTTCACCCCGTTCTAGCCAAAGGAGAGGAACTCAGTACACTACACACGCTTCACGCTCACAAGTCCCGCCACAAGAAACTGAGCAGATGGCAGGGCCCTCTCTTTAGGGGAATACGCTCTCCAAAAACAATTTTCAACAGCAAAAATATTCATGGATACAAAATAAAAACCTTTTTAAACTGGCATTCCTACAGATTACAGCAACCTATTAAAAATCTGAATTCCATAGCCCTCATCTTAGTAAAGTGACCTCTGTGCCACAGCACAGGATCACAGGGCCACATCCGGCTGGAACCCGGCTGACAACACCTCCTGGTCCTCTCGGTGATTTCTCTTAATTGTCCTCACAAAATTCCCGAAGGCCACTCAAGAGTTTGAGCTAGGGATTTATGTGATTTGTATGATGGCCCTCCCATCATTTCTAGAAATTAAGTCCAGTTTTTAAATTGTACTTAAAATATGCAAAAACAAAGTTCAAGTGTGCGCTGGCAAAGTCTGTGCCTATCCCAACATCCACTCTCCCATACTCCTTAGTAACAAGGCTGTGGTTTTATGTAAAGGCATGAGCCCAGCCAAATGGCTCCCTCCCAGCATCAAGGGGCGGTGCAGCCAGGAGAGGATCATATGATTTCGTTTCTGGCCAATAATGTGAAAATCAGGTGTTATGGGAAATTCTGGGGTTTCTCCTCTTTTAAAGAGAGGCAGCATGCCTATCTCCACCCCTTCCCTCGCCCCTTTGTGCTACCTGGAATGCTGATGTGATGGCTGGAGCTCTGGCAGCTATATGGAAGCTATTCACTGAGAATAGTAGGATGGAAAGACAGGCACCTGGGACACTATGGTGCCACCAACCAGTGCTTTACTACCTACCACTAGGCTGCTTTCAAGCACGAGAGCGAAGTAAACTTGGCCGTGTTTAAGCTGCCATTATCTGAAGGTTTTCCACTAGGTGCTATCAAGCTCAATCCTAGGTATGTGTTCTTAACACACTCTGGAAAAGCAGATATTTCTCTAAGGTGAGAAAAGTCACTTCTCATTAAACAATCGCCCCCTCATTTGGAGGTTTCAGAGTTGGGAATTTCAGAGTATGATGTGCCTGCACAGAGAAAGCGCGAGCGTGTGCTGGCCCTGTGTCAGTGCGCCAGCAAGACTCCAATGTGTCTGAGCCCTTTGAATTATAATCGCTTGTGGTTTGCCTAAGTGCTGTTATTTTCCAACCAGTAACACTCCTTTTCCAACACTACAGCTAGTAACAGATAAGAGGCATGAGGTGGCCCAAAACTGTGAAGGGGATCTCATTCTTCATTTCCGCCTCCACTGCAACCCAGATGTGGGACGACCATTCCAGGAATCTGAAAAGCCCCAGCTGCCCGCTCTCATTAAAGATTTCCTGAGTGCACAGGGGTCCAAGCGCATCAGGGACTTGTAAAAGTGAACGGTGAGCTCCCTGGAGGGGAGGCCTGACCCCTTCTGCCAAACGGCGTCCCAACCCGGGACCATTCGCACATGCTGCCCCCCCACCGGCAAGTTAGAACTCGAATCCTGAGCTCACCGTGGCGTCGGTGAGCTTCTCCCACTTCGGCGTGATGAAGTACCAGATGCCAGCACCAGCTCCGGGCAGGGTCACCCCGCGGATGAGGAGGATGACCAGCACGACGTACGGGAACGTGGCCGTGAAGTACACCACCTGGAACGCGTCCGACAGAGGGCTGCGATGAGCGGGGCTGCCGGGTATGCCCGCACCGAAGGGGCGGAGACAGAGGGACCTGCCGCCTGGACTCAGCGCCTCATGGTGAGGACACCGGGTAGTTTTCCCCAAGCTCTGCTAGGGCTGGGGGCACAGGGAAGGCACTGGGGCCAGAGGTGAGTCAGAGAGAGCCAGAAATAAGTCTGTGAAGGGAACACTAAGGCTGGGAGGTGAGTCCGCCTGCAGTGCGGAAGGCTGGAGAGAGCCGGCCCCGGCCAGCTGCTGAGGCGACAGCTCCCTGAGGACCCCTGGGAGGACAGCTGCCTGCCTCCCTCCTCCCTAACTCCTACCCCACCCTCTGCTGGAGGCCCCCAATTCCACCATTAGAGATTAATCCTTTTAGCTTAAGCCTTCCATCGTTGGTTATATAGACACCCCAGGTGAGGCAGCCCGAGGAGGTGAAAAGACCATGATCTTGGAATTTGACACATTTAGGTTCAGATGAAGTTGCACCACTGGCACTGAGTAGCTGTGAGACCCTGGACAAGCTCTGAAGCTCTGTGAACCTCAGTTTCTGCATCTGTAAACTGAGGATGATGGCACCTTTCTTAAAAAATGATCGTGAGGATCAAACTAATGCAGAGATAGCCCTAAGCATAGCGTCTGATCTATAACAGACGGTCATTAAACGCAGTTAGTCTCAACAAGCATTCACTGAGGGCCCACTGTGAGCTGGGTGCTGTGCTAGGCATTGGATGCATAAAGATGCAGGGACCCAGGACCTTGAAGACCCCGTCACAAAGTCTGGGTAACAGGCTCAGCAATTACATACAGGACACCAGGACGTCCAGGGGAGGGCACTGTGCCCAACCTGGGAGTTCACTGAAAGACTCATGGAGATGACACAGGAGCCAGGTCTTAGAGGCCAAGTGCAGCTTAAAGGAGGTACAGCGAGGCAGGAAGGTGGAGGGAGAAGTGGGCCAGGCAGCGGTGCGAGGGCAAAGCTCTGATGGCTCACTATCGGGAGAGCATAAACTTGAGGCTAAGAGTGAATGGGGGGGCTGCAGCACAGGAGACCACGTCATGGGAGGTGTGGAAGGCCAGCCAAAGTACGCTCCTGGATTCTGGACGAGAGGGAGGGACCAGAGTCGAGAAACATTTAGGAAGTAACCTCAGCAGAACATGGTACTGTGGTTGGATGGGGATGAGTGGGAGGCACTTTCTTTCCTCATCCGGCAATCAGACCCTGGGAGAAGGATGGGCTTGGGACCAGGATGTGGCAGATGAGGAGGCAGAGCTCAGGCTCTACAGTCCCACGGGCCCAAGTTCAAACCCCAGCTCCATCACTGATGAGCTGGGCCTCCTGGGGAAGTGACTTGACCTTTCTGAGTCTCAGTGTCCACACCTGCAAAGTGGCAATACCAACAGCATATTCCCCATGGGGCTTGTTGGGAGAGTTCAGTGGAACAGTCCGTACAAAGTGGCACAGGCCTAGGGGCACGACTTCAGTCTTCCTAAGACGCACCAGTCCCAAATTTAATAACACTGACAACCCCCAGCTCACAAGTTGGTTGCATCCCAAAAGTACATTGGAATACACTTGGAAGGATGAAGTTAAGCACCCATCCCGGCCGCCAAACCCTCTCTGATGCATGTGGAAGGTGTATACAGCTGGGCGAGCCACTCCGTTCACACTCGGAACACCTGCCCCAGGAGGGAGACAGAGACCCTGCCACACACAGGCTGCACAGCCCCCAGGGCTTGGCGGGGGGCTCCTGCCTGGCAGCGACTGGCAGGCACTGGAATTTTAGAGGATGAGGACCAACTTCAGATGGGTTGGGAGAAGGTTAGGGTTGAGGTTAAGATATAACTCTTGGGGTCACTTCATTTATTGAAATAAATACACACATATACACACATATGTGCACATACTTTTAGAGCACCTAATGTATGCCAGGCACAGTTTGAAGCATCTGGGGTTTGTCAGTAAACAAGACAAAGACCCCTGCCCTCAAGTAGCTTACATTCAGCTAGGGAGATGGACAACCCACAGTAATCAGAATAGCATTCCCTGTAGCATCTCAGAAGGTGACGAGTGCACTGGAAAAGAGAAAAAGCGGATCAGGGTGGGGGCCGTGCGTGCCAGGAAGGACGGCTGGGAAGGCCCATGTTAGGATGGGCAGGTGGGGGGCCTTGTGGGGAAGTTGGCCGGGACTTAGAGGAAATTCAAGAGCCAACTGGACATCTGGGGGACATGCCAGACAGAGGGAACAGCTGGAGGAAAGGCCCAAGAAGGGAGTGTGCCTGACTTCTAGAAAGAGCCAGGAGGCCAGAATGGCCGGGTGAGGGGTCCACAGGTAGGAGGGGGTGCAGATCCTGTGAGCCTGTGGGGCCTTCACTCTGTGGGAAGCGGGTGCAACTGCAGGGACCTGGGCAGAGGGGCGCCATGATCTAGTGTTGGAACAGGGTCACCCTGTTGCTGTGTCGCGAGTGTCCCACAGGGGCTCAGGGGTGCAACAGGGCAGCAGGTCGGAGGCCACAGCTGCAACCCAGGCAAGGGACGGTGATGGCTCCAACTGGGTGTTTCAGTGGAGCCAGGAGAAACAGTTAGATACCAGATATTGAACAGCAAGAGCCAGTCAAATTTCCTGACCGATTGACTGCGAGTGAGAGACAGAGAGGAGTCAAGGGCGGCGCCTAGGTTTTTGGCCTTGACAACGGGATGGTGGAGGTGCCATCAGCTGGAATGGGGCAGACTGTGGGCTAAGGAGAGAGAGGTGTCATTTCTTCCTCTAAACCCAGTTACTCGTCAAGGACAAACTCTCTCTGGCTACAGACCAGGGCGGGCTGGTCTCCCTTTCTCTGCATTGCTCCCTCCACTGACCTGGGGCCTCTTCCCTGCCCCACAGGACAGCAGTCTCCCCTCCCCGCTTGCCATGAAGAACTTGGAGGGCTAGGGACTGAGGGGAGGGGCGGCTGCTCCCCCACCCCTGCCAGGCCTGCTTCCCTCCTTCCCCCGACGTGGGGAAGCCTCCCCTTCCACACACAGACATTGAGAAACCCAAAGGCACCTGACGTCTCAGGAGAAAACCGCCAGCCCAGGACGGCCCGGCCTGTCCTCCCAGCTGTGGGATGCGGCTGGGGGAGGAGATGCTACCACGGCAGGGCCCTGACCAGTCTGACCTCCACACCACCCAGACAGGAGAGGCAGGGTGACAACTGAGGAATATCCTTTTCACCCCTGACCATGCGGGGCTGGTGGGAAGGGAGGCCGGAAGGAGGTAAGGGAGGGGACGTGACCTAGAAGCAGAGCCGGCAGGAGGAAGCCCAACACCAGCCCCAGTCTGACGGGCTGGGACCACTGCTCCCACTCCACTGCTGGAGGCTGTTCGGACACGACTGTTTCTGGAGCTCCCTCTGCAGATCAGCTAATCACAGTCCCATTTTGCAGAGGAGGAAACTGAGGCTCAGGTTAAGCATCTCTCAAAGGGTTAAATATCTCACTCAAGGTCTCCGGGCTGGAGTCAAGATCCAAACGTGAAGCTCTCTGCCTCAAAGCCTGTGTTCCTTCCTTTCATGCCCCTCTCTGGGCCACAGGATCAGATATATGGGAGGCAGGCGGGGCCCAGACGAGGAGGGGGCAGGTGAGCGCCCAGGGTGCAGGAGTTAAGGAGGCCCTCACTCTCAGGGGCCAACCTGCATTGCAGGAACCTGAGAGGGGGTGCCACCTTAAATTTCACACCCCAGGCATGTGCCTGCCTCCCCCAGGTCAGGCCCTGGTGTATGAGATGATGCACTCACTTTGTAGATGGTGATCGTGGTGAACTCAAAGGGCCCACAGTTTGGTTTGTAAATCCTGGGGATGCCTCAGATGTGATCAGGTGTCCATGGTGCTGTGTGCACAGTGAGCTTCCCTGTGTGAAGGGGCTTCGGGACGCACCTGCGTCAGGACATACTGTTCGAGGAATTGACCTTGAGCAGTAGTGAATTACACTTGGCAGGAGCGACATGACTAGCTGATCTGAGCCTGCTGGCCTGACACTTGGCAGCATCCTCCTCCCAGCGGGAGCCCTGGGCAGGTGGGAAGGTGAGGCCCCACCAGCCTGCGCTGACTAATGGGGTTAGCTGTGTGTTGCTGCCATAACTCTCAGGCAGAGCGGCTCCTGAGCTCAGAGGGGCTGCATCTGACCTTCAGGCTGCCTGCCCATCGCCCCTGTCTCTGGAATCCCAGCTGCTCAAAGGGAGACTCAGGTTCATAGGAAGCAGCCGGCCGGTCTTGTCTCCCAGGGCCCTGAACAGAGGAACTGGGCTTATCTTCCTGCAGGGAAAGGAGGACATCTCTGGTGCCTAGAAATGACAGTGTCCATGGAATTGCCATCACAAAGGAGCCTGCCATCAGGAGGAGCCTCGGCCAGCGTGCGCTCACCTTGGCTTCGAAACAACGCTCCCCAGCTAATGTCTGCACACTCCAGGGCAGGGTAACAAATCGTGATTCGTTATTTCTGGTGGTGTTCCTCATTTTAAAAGAATTGATCATTGACCCCTAGTTGGAAACCTTTCTCAGCGAAGCAGAAAGATAAGTTAGCAGATCTAAAAGAAAAGCTTGGCTGCTCAGGGCTGCTCAAAAGTCCCCATTCCGGAAAGCCCATAAAATCTAGCACCAAGGATTGACTTCTAAATCAATGCAAAGAACTGGCCGTAAGACCGTCCGAGCAATCCCAGACTAATGAAGCTAGAAGGGATCTTAGAGAATATTTATTTTAACCCTGAAATTTGCAGATGTGGGAAAGGAGACCCAGGTGCATCCTATGACTTGCCCAGCTGGCAATGACGGCTAATGATGGCAGAGATGGGGGAGGGGTGCCAAGGTCCTGATTGGCAGCAGGGAGACTTTTATGCCCCCAGTGCAAGTGATGACTCTGCCATTCTGCATTCCCATCCATTCCTAACAGCCCCTCCTCGGGAAAGGATGTCAGGTCGTGGAAAGAGTCTAGGCTTCAAAGGGAGACAGACCTGAGTTCAAATCCTACCACTGCCACTTAAAAGCTGTGCGAGCTCAGACAATTTACTCTACCTTGATGAGCCCACCTTCTCTGTCTCTAAAATGGGAATAAATATGCTGACCTCGCAGGGGCCTGTGGAGACAGTGAACTAATGCGTGTGATATACTCAGCAATCTGAACCAAGAAGGTTCAACAAAGCCCTCTTTTTCTTCCCACTTCCCCACCAGAGACACTGCTTTCAAGATGCTGCAGTGGCACAATGCACACTCAATACATCAGGCATTTCATTACAAAATGAAAAAAGCCAGTGTAAATTAAGAACTGACCACATGCCAGGTATTGTGTGTGCATCATCTCACTGGATCCTTATAACAATCCTATCTGGTGGGTACTGTTATCCCCAATTTACAGATGAGGAAACCAAGGTTCCAGAGGTTAAATAGCTTGTCCAGAGTTATACAAGGAGAAAGTGATACGGGCAGGATTTGAACTCACGTTGGTCTGGCTCTAGAGCCACCAGGCCACCCTTCCTCATGTCAGCAAAGAGGCCCTTTGCCACCCTCCTCACCTGTCACCTCTCCTCCTGTAGTCACACCTTCTAGCCCATCCTGCTGGAGACCTGCCTGGCCACTTCGATCCTGGCTGAGGCTGCCCTGTCTCCGTCTCTAGCGGTAAGTGAAGATCCTGCCAGTGTGATTTTGTTTGAGTAAATCCTTGGCCACTCTTGCTAAGTGATCTCTTAGCTGGGTTCCAAGCCACCGAAGCGAGGAGTCCAGGGACCCTCAGGACCCACACGGCATTGTTGTAAGGGTCGTGGCAACATTCCCCATCTGCCTGCAGCCTTAGGAAAGCAATCGATCCAGTCTTATAACACTCATTCAGAGCCAGCAGGCTCCTCAAGGGTCCCCTGCTCCCAGCTCTCATTTTACAGAAGGGGAAACTGAGGTCAGAGAGGAAAATTGCCATTCCCCACCCCCCCACCCCGAGCTCATTCAGCAAGTGTTCAGACAAAATAATATTAGAGCTACAGGGTCTCAGACATCACCCGGTTCAAATGCATTCACTTTAGAACGGAGGACTTCTGAAATAGCTAAGACAATTTGCTTTTCATTTGTTGGCAGAAAAACAAATAAAAGCTAAGAGCAAATCAGAAGCTCAGGCAGGTTTCGTGGCCCAAGTGGAGCTGTCCCTATTCAGCAAAGGCCAGACATCCTGGAGGACTAGACCCCAGGTCGCCTCGCCCCCCGTCTGGGTTTCTCTCCCCACCTCCTGTGACCTAGGCAGCACCCCTGGCCTCAGGTAACCCTGACAAACCCGCCAGTCATTCAAGTCCCTGGGGTACCAGATTATGTGGAGGGCACCAGAAAGAGCCATTATGAGAAGTCACCTGTGAGCATGTCCATGTGCCCAGGGACTCTGCTCTCTGTGGCTAAAGGGTGCTGGGTCTGGGTGCCTGGTGGGGGTGTGAAGCATGCCTTGGAGGTGGAGGTGGCACAGACCCGCGCACCCTCGAGGCCTGATCCTTCCAAAATTGGTTGTTGGTGTGTAACCACAGTAAGCCCTGGCCTGGACAACCGGCCCAAACCCGACTCCACAACCTGTGGTCTCAGCGTCCACCATCACACGCTCATCCCTCGGGCCTTAAAGATATTTTGGTTTTCATCCTGAAACATGCACGTGACTCTTAGGATAATTAAATACTATTGGTTGTCATCAAAGTGATTGGTTAGCCATTCAATGGCGTTTTTCAGTTTTTCTAAAGCAGCAGGAAGATGAGGGAAGACACTGTGGCCCTTACAACCAGGTCCATCCAGTGTGTCCTGGGGTTTCCTGGACTCCTTGCCGTCCACGGCTCAGAATTGAGCTTGGGGTGGGAGCTCCATCATCTCTGAAGGGCCAGCCAAGCAATCGCCAAGCAAGATCCCACCAGCAGGACCGTCACCCTTTACTGCTGTGGGTAAGTGGGGTAAAGAGTGTCGGGCTGGGGGTTGGAAGAAGGTCATCAAAGGCCGAGAACATGGTAGCCAGGAGTGAGGAGACAGAATCCGCTTTACAGTTATGATCTTTTTCCAGCTTCTTGGAAGGAGCAATAACTGACCTGGCAGCCAGACCGACAAGCAAAGAGCCAGCAGCACGAAGCATGGAGTTTAGGGAGAGTGACTGAATTGCATCAGGGCCATCCCAGCTGCTGAGTGAAGTGGCAGCCCCATGGGGAAGGGAGGAAACAGTCACAGCAGCCCCACCCTCCCCAGGAGCTCATCTAACCCTAACACAGCCCTCAAAGAAAGGTGCCACCATCCCACTGCACAGACAGGAGTGACATCACTTGCCCGAGGCCCCACAGCCACTCAGGGCCGGGATCAGAATTACAACCCCGGCTCCTGACTCTGGTCTCAGAGCTCTTCCGCTGCCACAGGACACAGTCATGCCTGGCTGTCCCAGAGTTTCTCCCAGACAAATACAAGTCCTTACTTTTCCTGAAGTCTTGATGCCTTTTGCCAGGGATGCATACACGATCACCCAAGCCAGGAAGAGGCAGAAGGCCAGCGGCCACCTGATCTCCCCTGGATACTCTATCCCGGCAGAAATCTTCAGCACAAAGTACCTACAAGTCAGAAAGAGAGAGGAGGGAGGAAACGAAGGAGGAAGAGGAGGGAGGGAGGGAGTGGCCTTCTGCAGGCTTTAATCTCCGGCAGAGCCAGGAGCCAAACAACCCAGCACCCCGCCCTCCCCATGAGAGATGTGATCTGAGCAGGTGGCAAGGGGTTCGCTGGCCTGGGCTCCCACCCACAGCTGCCCGCAGACAGACCGACTGGATTTACCCAGTTCTTAATTATGCGCTGGGAGACCACTGGCGGCCCTGGGCAGGCTTTGTACAAGACCACTTCAGCTCCAACGTCGGCCAGGGCTGCCCCAGGAGAAGAGCAACAAATCCAACAGCCTTGGAGGCTCCCGTACAGCCTCCACTGCATCAGCAAGGTGGATGTCTTTATACAAACTCACAGCACCAACCGAAACGCTAAGCTGTCTGGGATGATTTTTGTGCGCTTCCGTATTGTTCCACTATTTTATGACAATGTTTTCCAGGATATGTGTGTAATTTTAAATTGAAAAAATCAATACAGAGTCATTATGCTAAATGACCAAAAATGCTGCCTCTGCATTTTAGTTCCAGTTGCGTTGGGCACGTCTCCAGGCTGAGGTGAGCTGAAACATCAAAGCAGAGCCGGCTGGGCCTTATTCAAGGACAGACCCCCGGGGTAAGAAGCAGGGGGTTGCTGGGGCCCTGTCGCAGCTGCTGACAGCCTATGTAGGTGCCGAGAAGTCCCGGCCGACCTGGTGACCCTCGCGCCCCAGGCAGCAGCTTGTAGCCAATGGGCAGGCAGCCTCCCTCCTGGGACAGGAGGTGGTTACAGGGACACTGAGTCCCAACAGACTCAGACAATCCCCTCAACAATGCAGCAACTAAGTCCCACGTCCTGGAGGAGAGTGCTGTGTTTCTAGGTTGGCGGCTTTCTGTGACCTGAACAAAGGACCAGCCAGAATCCAGACTCTCCAGGACTCTAGAAGTGACAGCCCAGAGGTTCTGACCTGCTGGGGGGAGAGAAGGCAGCAGCACAATCCTTTTCCAGCCAGCAGCGCTGTCCCCAGCCAGCTAGCGAGGGGCCACAGGAGAGGCTGTTGGCAGCACAGTCACCCTTGTCAAACAGGGCTGGCCACGCTCCGGGCTGGCAGAGCCCACTTCATCTCAACCTGGGCTCAAGAGCTGAGTAGGGACCAAGGGTGGCTGACCCGGGCTCCCAAACCTTAGGGACCATACTGCCCAACAACAAAAAGGACTTTCTCTGTGTCCCCGCCCCCAACAGGGTAAACCACTGAGTCAGCAACGCCACAGCACTTGGCATCTCCACTACCCATGCTTTAAGAAGGGATCTCAGACGGGTCCCAGGAAGCTCCTCACACCATTCCCTGGGACCTAAGACTGGTCCCAGAGGATGAGCAAAGACCATCAGAGGCCAGTTCACAAATCACTGCATGGTATACCTAACCGGGTGACTACGTGATCAGGTTTCCTCCCACCACCAGGCCAGACTCAGCTTCCCAGTGCTCAGGGTGAGTCAGCCCGCCGCCCTGCTCCCACGTTATCTTCAAAAGGGGTTATTTCGTCATTCAGCCTGACTCCCCTTTCTGTTCTGCAGGGACAGCCATGCACCCTGTGAGTCTGCACAGGAGAGAAAGCTGGAATAGGAATTAACGGTAACCGGAAGGACTAAGGGGGTCTTAGTGAGCACTTCTCATTATCCAAGTAAAGGCCACAAACCGGGGGCCCACTCATGTATGCATTTAACTTGGCCCCCGTGTTTTATTTGAATTAGTTTGCAAACATTTAAAATGGGAGAGACACATAAAACTTCGAATTTTATTTCCAACTTCTCTTGTAAGACGGAAGCTCTAGCAGCATGGACCCCACCCCCCCAAGGCAAGGATGGGTTGGAGCTGGGCAGCAGCAGCCTACCTTACACGAGGCAAACCTCCTCTCCAGTCTGCCACAGTCCCCACCATTCTCTGTTGTCTCATTCATTTGTACTTCACTCATTTGCTGGCAAGCAAACCTCCCCACCAAGCCCCTGAGCACATCTGAGTTTATAACCCCCAACTTAAGGCTTAACTATCAAACATTCTTTATTTATCCTCTGTTGAACTCTGTCTACATTTACCTCCCCTAAGAAATAATTCCATGACCTTTTTTAATCTTCCTGTGGTGGCTGAGGGTTTCCTAGATCCCTGAACCTCAGTCCTGAATGTCTGGCAAAATGGATGTAGAAAGTACAAAACCAAGGCAAAACTGTTAAAAAAAAAAAGAAGAAGAAGAAGAAGAAAACTTAGTTCTTTAAACTAAGCCATTGACCCTGACTTGTTTTCTTACTTTTTGCCTCTCTTCCCTTCTCAAGTGAGGAAGGAAAAAAAAAAAAAAACCCTAGTTAACTGGAGGTCTGCTTAGATCACCGTGGATGAAGGTTCTGCAACGTCCTTGTCATCGACGTCAGGGATTACAGCAGCACCAATTCTGTTCCCACCAGCACTCAGCCAGCTCTCCTCTCCAGACCCGCAAGGGTTCTGCTCTCAGAAACCACACCAGGGCACAAGTCTTCCTCCCTGATCACTCGAGCAGGTAGGGAGGGCGCAGAGGGCGGCAGCCCATTCCTCGGGCCACCCACACTCCCAGTCTTCAAGCTGAATGTTCACTAATTCATTGGGTTTCTCTTAGAAAGTAAAAAGCAAACGAACATCTTACTTGAAATACTCTTCGCTCCCGCTGACAAACGTCTTGTTGGCCGGGCTGGTGAAGTTAACCAGCGTCAGGTTGGGGTAGGCGGCCATGCAGAAAGTCGAGTTCTTGATCTGTATTTTGGGATGGTCACTGATGACACAGGAGTCTGTTTCGGAGAAGACGGAATGGAAATACAGTGAAATCTGTATGGAAAATATACACAAATCTCCTCTCTAGCAATTTAAAAACAAAGGACAAAGATATTTGCCCAATATTGGAGAGTAACTTTGGGAAAGTGTTCACTGCTCAAAGCTAGACGGAGACAGACCGCAGACGGTGTGTTATCCACCTGGAGCCCAGTGCCGCCAGCAGCGCCGTGTGCTGACACTGTGGCTCTCAGTACGGCGCACTCCCTGGGTGGTGGGAGCCATGCTGAGCACCTGAGATGCACTACCTCGGTTAATGCTCACAACAGCATTAGCTACCATGACCTCCGTTTTTAAAATGAGGAAGAAGGCTCAAAGAGGTCTTAAGTAACTCTCCCAAAATCACACAGCTAATGAGGAAGAGAATCAAGATTCAAACCCAGATCTTTATAACTCCGCAGAAAATAAATGGCTTGCAGAAATGAGTTTAATCAGACATAAGCAAACTTTCTGAAGGGCTATGGCCACAGAAGGCTCAGCAATAACTTCACCATGAACCCACTGCCTGGACCACAGAGGACATACCATAAGTACGCTAAGATGTGCGCCACATGCTTTCCACACACTCACATGGGTTAGAGGAGGCAGAAGCTGTGCCACGTGCTCGTGAGCCTGCGGCCGGACCTCAGACCATGGTTCTCAACTGGGGATGAACATGTCCCCCAGGGGACACTGGGAAATGTCTGGGGACATTTTATTGTCATATCTGGGGAGCAGGGTGCTCCTGGCATCTAGTGGGTACCAGGATGCTGCTAAATGTCCTACAATGCACAGGACAGCGCCCCCAACAGAGATTTCTCCTGTCCAAAACGCCAGCAGCGCTGAGGTTGAGAAAGCCGCCCGAGGCTGGCACGGGGAGAGGGAACTAGCCCTGTGAGTCTTGGTGTCAGGCACTGTGCTGGACACTTTGTTATCTCGTGAAATCCTGGCAGGTGCACATTATTAGCCTCATTTCAAATCAGAAGAAGCTGAAGACTTTCTGACCATATTACAATGCCTCCCTGACAGCTTTAGAAATACTGATGACTCGACCAATATTTGAGAGTCCACCAAGACTAATAGCAAACAACACTATTTCCTAAAGGAGTGAAAAAATAACAATAACAACAACTAACACTTATAGGGCGTTTACCGTGTACTCCACACGTACTTTAAAGCACCATAAGTGATTTACATGCATTAACTGATTTAAGCCTCACATCACTCCTATGAGGTAGGTATTGTTCTTATCTCCAGGTTGCAGATAAAGAAACAGGCACAGAGAAGTGCAGTTGCTTGCCAAGGTCACAGAGCAGAACCAGGAGGCAAACAGTCACTTTTTCTTTGCAGGCCATGCTCTGAACCACTCTAGTGTGAAGCAGAGAGCAGCAATCATAAACTCAAACACCTTCAGAAGCCAGGCTGGTGACACAAATGAGAAAGGCATAAAATGGAGGTAATAAGGAGTGGTGGCGACTGTGGCAAATCAGAGAGTGCTCCAGTCAATCTGTGCCATGCTTTTCCAGGTGTTCCAGCAATAGAGGCAGAAAATCTGAATATTTACACAAAATCTCTCCATTTTAAAATGTTGGAAATAAGGTCAAATTGTCTTTAAATATTGCGGACCCCAAAAAGGCACATGTGGCCTAGATTTGGTGCATGGACTCCCACTGTGTGGAATAGCAAAGTGGGTAAGACCATAGGTTCAGGAGGTCCCCTAGCTCTGAGAGTTCAGATGAGTTCCTCTATCTGTCCAAGCCTCTGTTTTCTGATAATAGTTGTATCTGGTTCACAAGGTTGTTGTGAGAACCAAATCGAGATCACAGACCAAAAAGACCTCATACAACGCCTAGCACACCAGACCCACTAAATTTTAGCTGTGACTCAATCATCATTGTTATACCTTTTCATGAGGTGAGCATCTCTAGTCCTCAGCATCATCTCGCACAATCCCATTTGCCAGCCATAAATTTCCTGCTGCCTCCCACACATGCCCCAGAATACCTCATAATATTAAATAAAAATTAAAACAAAAATTATAAGAATCACTTCTCTCTGATTAGTTCTTTAGATCAGGATTTTTCAACAACATTTTGGACCAGATAATTCTCTGTGGTGGGGGGCTGTCCCGTGCATCGCAGGATATTTAGCAGCATCCCTGTCCTCTGCCCACTAGATGCCAGGCGCATCCACCCTCGAGTAGTAAGAACCAAAAATGTCTATAAACATTGCCAAATGGCTCCCACGATTGAGAACCACTGCTTATAGTTAGAGTCCTCAAAATACCTCATTATTCAATGTTATCTCTTTAGTGTAATTAAATAACAGAGAGTTTCAGCGGGATTCCGACCTAATAACTATCAAATATTTACCGAGGGAGCCCTTGCTTCCCCTCCCCCCCAGCAGCGACCTGAAGGAAGACAATTAAAGCACCACCCACATCCCTTTCTGTAAGTTAGAACAGAAGTGATTTCTTGCCCTCCTGCCAAAACGTGCATCCATCCCCTATCGCTGAAGAGATGCTAACACGCGTGTAAATGCCAAATCGCTTGCTTGCACAAAGGCGCTCAAGAAGCAGGCGGGCCGCTTCCCCAGAGAGTGTCTTTGCGGTGTCTGGATCACTGCTGTCGCCGCAGCGCAAGGTCACCCGTCCCTGCGGCTCGGCAGCCTCCAGCCTCCTGCAATATCCCCTCCCACCACTGGGCGGCAGAGGCGTGCTTCCAGCGCCCAGCGCCGCCAGGTCGGCCGGCGGACCGGGCAGAGAGCTGGGCGCCTGGCATCCCAGAACAAAGAGCAGCGATAATGATCGTGCTCAACTGGAAGCTCTTCGAACGGGATTCGCTTTACTCGGGCAATTATTAATAAATGAAAGCACACGAAAGACGAGGGAGAAAAGAAATCATTTAATTAAAGTTCTAATGAAAATTAAGCCATTCCAGAAATAGAAATGGTATATTATGTTGTTCCCATTTTAAACGACCCAGCTAGCTCCTAATCTCACAGAACAGCCGCTGGTCTCACTTGGCAGGGCATGGATTAGCCCGTCTCCATTTCAGACACCTGGAAGGTTGAGTCTCTCTACCGAAGACAGTCTCCATTACAACCTACATCCTAAAAACCGGCTGCAAGCTCAGCCTCCACCACGGACAGAGCCAGGGCTGCTTCCCGGGCTGGAGCGGTACCCCGCCCTGGCATCTCCCTGGGGAGGCAGGGCTCCCGGGCAGTAGGTCCCCGGCAATGCTGAGGCGGCTGTGGGATGAACACTGCCTTGCTCAGACAGAAGGTAAGAATGGCAGGCCATCTCTCCCCTCTCTCGGGTCCAGCTGCCTGCTCTCACAGGGAAGGGTGGCTACGGGGTTGTGACGAAGAGGGTGAGCCAGGAAGGTTATTTGTGGGACACTGCACTAGGAGAAGGAGTTTTCCTGTTTCCTAAATAAGCCTCTCTCAGAATGGCCAACTGGAGAGAGCCTGGGACATCCATTGTCTGGTCTCCTGTCTCATGCATCAGAACAGTGGGGCTATAAGGCCACCTACGTTGCTGCATGTCAGACCACCATCCCTCTTCTAAGTCACAGGAGGACCCCAAAGAACCAATACTTCCACAAGGGCTAGCCTGGCCCCAGGAATGGAGCCGCTCACATGCAGATAACACAGAGAAAAACAGATGGAGGGGCTGCACAAAGAGAGAATGGGGACTGACACCTTGCTTTTTAACAAACAAAAAAAAAAATTTAAAGCCCTAGCTAAGAACGAGATAAGGTCTGCCCAGCCTGTCTATATGCTCCCAGGGAATAATCAGAGTGAAAAATGTCCATTGTCTCTGCTCGGAGCTTGCATAGCTTTCATGGTTTGTACCAGGCAACTCAGAGCTTAGCCATGTAATGTCTTCACTCTGCCTTTAGCGTTTCCTGGAGCCAGACTGGAAACTCCACAAAACCAGGGGCACCCCACTCACATGTCTTGCCTGGTCAATGGGCTCAGCTTGCTTCAAAAAATAATACACACAAACACATATGTGTATGTGTGTATACATATGCATATATATGTATATACTTGACTATAAAATAAACGCATGCCCATGATAGAAAGTGTAGGAAAGAATGGTCCTAAATCTGCTAGTTAACATTTTGTGTATCACCTTCCTGTGTGTTTTCTATCCATGCACATATGGTTAGTAAAAATAAAAGTATACTATAAACCTGTATCCTGTTTTTACATTTAACATGATATGGTGAGGATTTCCCATGTTTTATGAGTATTCATCTTTTATGACTATGGAATACTTCATCTTACAGATGCACTATAATTTTCTTGAACCAGGGAATTATTCAATAATTACTGGAATTTCTGTCACACATTTAAGTGTTTCTAGTGTTTTCCAAGATTGTAAGTGCGGCTGCTATGAACATGTATGTCGAGTCCTCACCTGCATCTCTGATTTCCCCCTTAGGATTCCTCCCAGAACTGGAAGTACCAAATCAACTACTGGTCAGACAAGCTTTCTTTTTACTCCACAGGATCTCAGCTACTAACAGTTAGGGACCACGTGGATGGACATCACTCTGCCCAGACTGATGGAGTAGAACCTGCTGGACCAAGGACTCTTTAGGAAGCCTGGATGAACAGAGAATTAGGGGCCATGAGACCCAGATCCCAACAGTGGTTCTGCCCTGCGACTTACAGCATGATATGTCCTCTCTCCAAGTCCACTTTCTCACCTGCAAGATGGTGATCATGTCGCCTGCCCCTTGGAACTCACAGGGCTCTTACTGGGAACAGCACAGACATCATTTACAAAGCTGCTTTGTAGATTGGGGAGTCTTTAGCATGGTGTTTAGGACCATGGCCTTGGAGGCAGGCAAACATGGGTTCAAATCCCGGGTCTACTACAGAGCTAGCTCTCTGACCTGGAGCTCTAGATTTCTCACCCATAAAATGGAAAAAATAACAGAAGCCGTACATTGGCTGTTGTCCATCCTAACACTGGCAATTTGAGTAAAAGGGTTTAACCTGGTGCTTGGTGTGTAGCAAGTGATGCTCGCCGTTATTATTAAGCGTTAGGATGCTGCACAAATATTAGTGGATGTTGTTCAAGAGGCGAATGGTGTTTCTGAACTACTATCCTTCCTGGAGGACAGCTGTGGGACACTGGTCACCATGTCCCACATGGTCCCTGAGGCAAGTCCCCAGGGAAGCTTCCCGTGGAGCTGAATCAAGGTGACAGCCCTCCTCCAGAAGGCATGCCTTTGAAAAGTGCCTTCCCTCCCAGGCACAATCTGGAAAGGACAAGCAGGGCTCTGGGCTGACCTTGAAGTATTTCTCCATTATTCCGGACCCCACATCCCGGAAAATGCCCTTTGCCTAACAAGGCAACCATTTTGGGGAAAGCCATTCCGGTTGGTGACTGTTGGTTGTGAATCTGTGAACACCTCCAGCGTGGGATTCTCTCAGACAGCAGCCTTGCAGAGGTGGCCACTGGGCTGGCAGGGACTGCAGGGCAAAGAAGGTGGGCACTCCATTCCAATAATGGTTAAGGGAAGCCTAACGAAGGCATGTGGGCAAACTCCAGCCTCATGGTTCCTACCTTGAGTGCCCCTGGGGAACTCTAAAAATACAGATTCCTAGGCTCCACCCCCAGATCTTCTGAAGTCATTGGTCCAGGGTGGACCCTCGGTGACGTTTTGATTTGTTACTTCCCCGGGTGACTCTAATGTGGAGCAGCTTGGGCTGAGAACCGCTGCTCTAACCTGAGCCCACCAACATGGTGATTGTGACGATGAGGACACTGGGGCCCCTAGAGGCTAAGGCACACTTGCTCTGGGTCATACCACTAGTGAGCCACACCCCTGGGAACCTCCACAGATCCCCACCCCTATTCCTGAGCACCTCCAGGTGCACAGGGTTTGAATTTGATGCGCACGTGTCTCTGGTTTTAGCTCTTCTTTAGTATTATTCAAAGCCTCTCCAGGTGAAGGTTGGTCACGGTGTGTCACACTCATGTATGTAAAAATACTCCAGTGTGAACTACTGCCTTTAGGGATGTGCATCTCTCTGGGGTGTGGGAGGGAAGAACTCATCTTTCCCTCTTACACACTCAAAGGGTTAAATAATGTCGTCGTTCTGCAATGTGTAGGCTGTAAGGACAACAGAGCTGATGTGCGGGACCAACACCGAGAGCCAGTCATCCAGAGATCAAGGATTCTGACCTCAGCACAGATCCAGCTTCAGGAGAATAACGGATCTGCCAGGGGGCGGGGGGGGGGGAAGAAACTGCTTGCTCACTGGTGCCCACTAAAATGGCCAGAGCCTCCAAAGGTGATGGATACCAGCTCCTTCTATTTGTAGAGTTTTATACTTTCCCAACTACTGTGACATCCTCATTTCCTTCCTCCTTACATCGATCCTGAGAGGTCGATAGGATGAAGAATATTTACATTATTTCTATTATTCAAATGCGGAAACCAAGATCCAGAGAGAAGTTACCTGCCCCAGACACACGTCCCGTCAGGGGCAGAGATGTCTTATAGAGCAGAAAGCCGTGCTCACAGATCTGCCCGCCTCCTCCTCACATTCATTCTCCTGCCCTTGACCCAACAAGCTGACAGCTTTCTCCAAGTCCTCAAGTCCCAAAGGACTTCAGGTCTGAGATGGGTCTTCCTCCAGGAACGCTCCCTGACCGCCCAGGCAGATTCCACTCACCTCGGTACAGCACAGTGCACATTTCCATCAGAGGTCGTCCATTAAAGTGTCTGTTCTCACACTTAACCTTGTGCGCTGAGCAGTATTTTCTGAAGTGTGGACCCAGGATATCATGCATCACTCTCCTGGACTCTAGGACCTCGTTGCTTTTCAAATCATACCGTGCATGCAAGTCACCTGGGGACCTTGCTAAAATGCACATTTCCTAATCCCACCCAAATGTAATAAATCAGAGTATCTGGTGGGCCTGTAAATCCACATTTTTAACAAACACTCCAGCTATTCATGAGCAAACAAAACTTCGATTACCCCTCCTCTGGGCCATGAGCTCCTTAAATGTTAGAATCAAGTACCTTTGGCATTTGTTTTAATCTCTGTGCCCCCAGCACCGAGCATAGGGCCTGGCAAACATAATCTGTGCTTAGTTAATATTTACTGAATGAATGAATAGTACACCTAGTGTAGGTATATCCCAACTTACCTAGTAAGAGTTTGGTCTTGTCTTTGCATTCTGGCGTGTTCCAAGGGTTGTTGCAGGACCCCCAGGGCAGCACAGACACGAAGGAGGCAAACAGGTAGAAAAGTGTGTAGCAAATGATTACATTGTAGTAAATGGCAATGAGGACGGAGATGATCAGCATGGCGATGCCACAGCCTGTGGAAGCAAAGGTCCAGGGATTCAGTCCATCAAGCCCTATGGGGCTCTTACCGCTGGGCACAGGGCAGGGACCCAGGTCTTGGCTCGCTCTTACAGACGGAAACACAAAGAGTGGAGTGGACTCTGTCTACCAAGGACATTGAGGCATTCTGCCAGGACAGGAACAATGCCAGTGGTCTTCTTGGGACATTCTTCAGAGGGCCCCAGAGGTGGATTGATCAAACAGAGAAGGAAGGAGTGATTCTACTGATCACAAGAGCAGGTCTTCCCCCCGCACCCCGGGGCCACCTGGGGCCAGAGAGGGCAGGGCAGGGCAGGGCTAAGGGGGCTGGGAGGCAGGGCCGACTCACCTTGTAGGGCTGGGATGGCCTTCCACACAGACACTGGCCCCTGGCTGGCAAACTGGCCCAGTGACACCTCTAAGAAGAAGATGGGCAACCCAGCCAGAGCCAGCATCATCAGGTAGGGGATGAGGAAAGCGCCTTGAAAGAGAAAGATCAGGACGTGAGAGCCCGGGAGGCCACGGCCGCTCAGGCCCACCTTCCCCCTCAATGGGAGCTGCCTCTCTCTCCTTTCCAGGAAGCTTTTGAGATTCCAGGTCAACCATGGGTGCCTGGGATGTTTACGAGGCCTCCTCTAAAAAGGGCAGGAGTACCCCGCAACTGCACTCCTTTTTTCCATTCCCCACCGGATGGTTCGCTAGGCATTGTGTGCTGGTTGGGTTTTATTCTTTTGTCTTATTCTGGTAATTCAATGCCCCAAAAGTAAGCCCTTCCAGCGTTCGACAAATCCATGCCTTTGAGTCACTACTGCAGTCAGATTTGGTGAAAGCTCATCAGCACTTCCACCCTCCAAGGACCTAACTTCTGCTAAGCTAGACTGCAGGACACCCCCCCAAATCCCCCCACCTCCACAATAATCCAAGTCACCCCCACACCTTCTGCCAACCAGGGTGGGGCCTGCACTGCCTGACAGGAGGCCAGGATATCCGTCTCCCCACCACCTCTGCCATCTCACACACCTCAACTCCCTTCTCCACATGACAAGCCCCTTCCATCTTTCTCAACTCAAATGCTTCCTCCACTGAGAAGCCTCCCTTCTCTGTCCTCCCACAGTACCTTCCCCAGGCACTGAGCACCTGACAATATTTATGCAGTGTCTTATCCAGACTCTGAGCCCCCTAAGGTTCTTGACCCTTTATCTCTTTATCCCCCAGAACAGGCAGCCTAGGGCAATAGTAGCTGGTAGGTCTCCACAGACTTGCTGAGGGTTCTCTGGGCTCTTTCCCTTAAAGGATTCTTTGAGGGTGTTTGGTAGGGCCTTAGGGAATGGCCAAGGTCTTTGAAAAGGTTTGGCCCAGGAAGCCCTGTGGCATGGGTCGGACCCAGTTCAGATAGTAGAGACGCTGAAGCCCAGAACACCGTGCCTATCTTCCCCTCTTCCATTCTTTCTGCTCGGCCTTCTCCCAACTTCCTGTCCCGAGGAAGGGCATTTCCTGCCCCGGGAAGGGAGGAAGGGGGCGCAGGGGGAGGCAGGGAGGGGAGGGGACGGTGCTCTCCAGGCGAGGAAGGCTCAGCAGCGGCCCTGGGATGCTGAGGAGTAAAACAGGGGTTCTGCTTTGTCATCTTCTGACAGGGTTTTCGAGAAAGACGTGGTTTGAGCCATCCTTCTCTTCTGCTCCTGGGAGGTAGGAGGAGAGCTCTCCACCCCGCGCGGAGGGCTGCGGGCCCGGAGCCGCAGTGCGGAAAAGGCCGCCTCACCGTCCCCGCGCCTGGCTCGGTGCAGCCGTAACCGCCCAGCGCGCACGCAGCCCCGCGCTTCGCGGATCCTGGGCCTGCAAAGGGCTGGCACTTGCGCCCGCCAAACTCCCTTCCCACTGCGGTCTTGTGTACCCACCTCCTTCCTCTCACTAGAAGCCTTATTATAGCACCTCCTGCTTCCTGCACCCTGCTCTGCGGACTCCCTGCGGAAAACCAAGCGGAAACCCAGCTGGGGTGCGTCTATTTGTGTACCCAGCACACGTTCTTCTGTTTCCAGGGCACGTCTGATTGCAAACGCTCTGCGGTCCTCATAAGTACTTGTCAACGTGCCCTAATTTGGAATTGAGGGGAGGAAGGGTCACATATTTTTCCGTTTTAATCATCGAGTGGTGCAACATCTGTTCGTCCCCGTGCACCAAATTCCACGTGGAGCAGACCCAAGACAAACACACAAACACACACACCTGCACACACACACAACCTTAAGCTGCCTAACGTGATGGAGTGAGGGATGCATTTCTAGTCTCTTGGTCCGGTTGAGAAGCTGTGGGAGGAAGCCTTAGGTGAAATTCCAATTCCTAGAGGGCGACCCTCAGTTAGCCAACGTCGGGGCGAGCAGCCGGCCCCTCAGCCCTCAGTGTCAGGTGGTCAAGCAAAGGGACCTTGAATGTGTCGGGTACAGAAGAGGTACAATGGGTCCGAGAGGCCAGGCAGCCAGCGCAGGCTTAACTGGTGTCCTCCCCATTTCAAAAACGGGTTTCCTTCAAAAAGCAGCTTCTTCCACCCAGTTAGGACAAATGAAACGAAAACTGTTTTTGCTAAAGTCAAAATACTCCCCGTTTGTGCACAAGAGGATGTATGCGTGTGGGGACTTTTGAGAGGTTTTCAGAGCACAACCCCCAGCCCCTCTCCACCCGCACCGCTTGGTTCCCCGCATCCTGCATTCTGCGCCACCCAGAGCCCGTTCCCACGGTCTCCTAGGCAGGTTCGCATTTCCAGGTTATAATCTTAAAGCGCCGTTAATTCGACGTCCAGGACCGCACAGCTACGGACTCTAAAATCGTTGAGGTGCGCGGAGTGCACCTGCTGCCTGAATACTTGTTGGCTAAATTAGAGTCCGACCTTTCCCGTGTCAATGCCCACTTGGCTCAGAACCCAGCCCCCAAGCTGGGCCGGCGGGGGATCATGAGGGCCCGCCCCTCTGCTGAGCTCCATCTCGCGATAAAAGCCCCCTGGATCTAGCGCCAAACGGTCCCAGTCGCTCCTGTGCTCTGGGTCCGCACCATGCCCACGGAGGATGGGGCTGGAGTGTGAGCAGGCTGTCCCGAGCCACTTCTGTTCGCGCGGTCCTGGGCCTCTGGGTTCCCCCCCCAACCCGCCAGCGCCCGCCCCACCGCGCCGCAGGCGGAAAGAGCGGAAAAGCCATACCTCCCCCGTTCTGGAAGGCCAGGTAGGGAAACCTCCAGACATTGCCCAGCCCCACTGCGTACCCCACCATGGACAGGATGAAGTCCAGTTTGCTGGACCAGTTCCCTCGGGCCTTATTCTCATCCCCTTGCTCGTCCTCCTGGGGGCGGAAAAGCACATTGTCGGATAACAGCCCCTGGTTGGTCGCAAGCAGGCCCCGTTCCGCCCCTCCCCCCTGCTGAGGGTCCTTCCCAGCAAGCAGGCCCCCACTTTTCAACCGAGGATGCATCGGCAAGCAGGACCCCAATTCTGAAGAGAGGATGCATCTACAAGCAGGGCCCTCACCCCCTCAACCCTGCCCTGAGAGTGGTTCAGCAAGCAGGCTCCCAGTTCTGATCTGAAGATCCATCTTAGACCCCTGAACGCTTCTTTCCCAAACCCTGCGGTCAGGGCACACCAGCAAGCAGCTCTTCCCAACCTTGAACCTGTCAGTTAATTGCAAGCAGGTCCCTCCATCCCCAACCCCTGACCAAGAGTTCATTTGGCAAGCAGGCCCCCAATATCATGCCTAGAGTCCCCAGCAAGCAGGTCTCTAACCAACCCCTTCCTCCCCCAAACCCTCAATGCCCCCTCCCTCAGCCCTTTCTCCCTCTGGAGTCTGTGCTAAGGCCAGAGAGAGCTGCAATGCCTGAAGCCAGCCGGAGGCCCTGCCTCACTTTCTCGGCCAAAGCCTTCAGCCAGAACCTGCCTGGTAGCTAATTGAAGGGGACACCTTTCAGCACTGGAGCAAAAAAATATGGACAGGAGGGAGATGTGGGGTGAAACAGAGGGAGAAGGGAGAAAATAGATATGGTAAGAGACAGGACATCTAAAACCTTGAGTTCTGGTCTAAACTTTACTACTAACCAGGTAGACAACCCCAGGCAAGCCACCTGCTCTCTCTGATCCTCTGTATCCCCATCTGTAAAATGAGGGGCTTGGAATGACTAGCCCCTGAGGCACACTCCAGCTCCAGCGGTCTATGGATCTTTGGGGCTCCCCTCTTCAAGCTCACATTAAGATGCTTTCTGGGGCAGTACCTGGTTCTGGGGTGCCTCACTGCTAAGCAGAAAAAGCTGGGGATGAAGCCATCTCAAATAAACTCAGAAAATGTTCAGGACACCTGGACACCACACAAAGCTTCCAGGGACCAAAGCCACTGCATAGCTTCCACCTTCTCAGTCACCCTCCATCTGCCATTTGAGCAACCTGCCGTGTCCCACACTGTTCCACAGGCCACAGAGGATAAAGAAGCTGCTGTCAGGATGGGGAGGAAGTCTTGTGAGGCAGACGAAGGAGGAGCCAAGGTGGGTGTCAGAAAGGCAAGAATCAGAGAGATGGGCAGAGCTGAATGTAGGCAAATGCAGGGTTTGAGCTACACTGAGCATCTTTAAAATCTCCCTGCACTCGTCTCGCACACATACCACCTCCAGCCCCACCCCCACCCTCCAATTCTTCCAGGGCTAGAAAGGGTGGGAGTTCCTGCTCCTCCTGCCGCAGTGCGGAGGTTAAGCGAGGCACTGGAACACGTTTTCTTCCTCTACCTGGAGTCACACTGGGGCACATGCTGTCACAGGCAGTTAACACACACAGCCAAGCGCTCCAGAAGTGGATCCCAGAAGCAGGGGCGAGTGGGAAAGCCTAAATTTTTGTACATTTCTAGTTATTCTAATAGCTGAGCCCCTGCTGTGTGTGCCTATGGATAAGTGTGTGTGTGTGCATGCACACACGTGTACAAGCACTAGAGGGACTAAGTACAGAAGGGCCATGTAAACCCCAGAACCCCAGATCTCACAGGGGCGGATGGTCTGGTTCAGGTGCCGACCACTGGATACTGCCTAGCCTTGAGCCTAGGGGAGGAGGAGAGAGCAGAAAGGCAGACAGTGGGAAGGGAAGAGCTGAAGCAGGTGGACAGGATGGAGGAAAGAAAAGATTGGTGGAAGGAGGGAGACAGGAGGGAAATGGAGAAGACAAAGCCTATGTGGGAGAGGAGCCACCAGTAATAGTCCCCTCGTCCCTAGCCCAGGTTTGGGGTTGGCTCTGAGGATCTTTTATGCCTCTGGTTGAGTGTAAAGGATCAGCTGCAGGGGTGGATCCAGGTCTGTGGGCCTGAAGCCTGTACAGTTGAGAGAGGTCCTCTTTAAGAAAAACAAAAAACCAAAACGGACAAAATCACGATGAAAAAATTAGATACCAGCCAGGCAAAAGATCGCCCTGAGGCTGAAGCTTCTGTAGTGACCTCGTGTAAACCACCTCTCAGCAAGTGAGTTTTCAAGTGATAAGTGGTAACTCCCAGTGCAAAGGCTACAGGACTTAAATTATTATTTCCCCCAGGCTTTTGTCTATATTTTCTTTTTAAAATTAAAACAATGGTTTTTTGGGAAAAAAAGAAGAGACCCATTCATTGGCAAGAGGGGGAGTCGTGTCTGCATAAAGAGGTAGGAATCTACCTGCCTCAACTGTTTTAAGGAGTTTGCGCCCCGATTTCCGATACCACCGAGGCTGGGAAGGAGCAGGTAGCCGCAGCTCCTGAGGTCGCGATCCCTCTGGCAGGGTCACTGCAGCCCTCGCGCCCTGAACTGGTGACCCCAGCGCAGTGCGAGCTTCCGAAGCCCCAAAGCTGCCCCCAGCATCCATCACCTGGCACTGCCAACCGGTCTCCCCATCAGCACACGTGCACCCGCCACGGCCTCGCTCGCCTCCGCGCGGCTGGGGAGCAGGAGGCGGCGCGGGCCGAGCGCGACCTGCTTACCTGGGCGGTAGCGGCAGCCACGCTGCCCGGGAGCACGGACGTGATTCCATCTGTGCCCAGCACCACAGTGCTCTGGCTCATATTCACCCAGCCCACGGCCGGGGTATTGTTCCGCTCCAGGGTGCCCTTGCCCACACTCACGTTCGCATCCCCCTCCGGGCCGCGCAGGGCCGGAATCTTACAATGCAGCGCGTTGCCGGGCCCGGCGCCCCCAGGAGGGGCGGCCTGAGCGCCGTGCGCCTCGCTCAAGTCCCGCAGAGCCGCGGAGGCCGCGGGCACCCTCGGGCCACTGAGTTTGCAAGCCCCCACTCCCGGCCGCTCAGCCTCGCAGGCTCGCGCGTCCGGGGACTGGAAAGTTTGGGCACCGGTGGAAGCCGACCTGGGCACACGCGGCGGCGGCGCGGCGGCGGGGAGCTCCTGCTCTGGGCTCGTCCTGGGCGCGCACCGACCATCGTGGTGGCCTGGCGCCACCGCCGCCTCCAGGCTGTTGGCTGGTTGTTTATTCATTTCCTTGGGAGTCCCGCAATCCTGCGAACACAACGTGAAGTTCGTGCAAAAAAATAAAATCACAGCAGCTTTAAAAATACCTTATCTACATATAGAGACGTTCACAACTCAGGTCCAGACACAATATCCAGGGAACAAATTGGAATCTGGATTTTTTTCCTTCTCCAAGAAAAACTGCAATCACTGTTTCTCAGTTTGTCCGTCTCTTCAATAACGAGATGACATAAAGAAGCTAACATTCTCCTCCCTGATGGAGGTAAACTAAGAAAAGAGGCAGAACTGTTTTCTGGAGGGGGGCAAAGGGAGGGACAGAACTACCCCTACAGCCATGAGCTCTCTGCCCTCTTTGGATTTCACATCACGGCTGTAGGGTGCTCACGTCCCCATCACCATTGTAGAAAGATTCTTTAATTTTCCGCCCCATTTCCTTTGTCATTCAGCAATACACATTGCCTCTTTTTTTTTTTTTTATAAGCCATAGACAAGCTGCGGCCACAAAGCTGATGCCCTGGCACCTGCGAGCATTTGAGGCCAAATCGGTTGTGTGAATCCCACAGCTCCAAAAGGCAGCCCCCCTGGCCAGGTAGCAAAGGCAGGGACAAGGATCACAACCAAAATAACGACCACCACCACAACAAAAACCCAAAACAACAATAATAAACCAGACTTAAAACACAAGATAGTAACCAAGTTCATCGTACACAACCTACACTGACTTCCAGATTCCCAGGTATATTAAAGGACCTGCAAAGTTGTTTTTGGTTCTCCTGCCCCCAGAAATAACTATCCACAGGAGTCTCATAGCCTTCGTGCCCCTACACTTGCTTATGGAACAAAACCCACGACTAATTTTCGTTTGCTTTCTCCCAATAGAGGCTCAAATGAAAAGAACTGCCCGCGGCGGTTTTTCCGTCAGGGCATCCTAAATATTAGCCCCAATAATTACTCTTATACGGTAAAAATAACCGTATTACCTTCACCTTAACTGCACGCCTCTCGTCTAACCGTCTTTCACAAATGCACAGATCAGATCTCCTTAATTTGCACCAAATCTAAGTACTTAGGCTCCAGCCAGCATTTCTCTCTCGATAGCCTCTAAGGTCCACAGCGACTCGCCTCAGTACCGGCATCTGGCTTTTCAGCACCTAGGACAGTACCCAGAAGCGCGTGGTACGCTCTCAGCTCGACAGCCTGAGAAACGTCTTTCTGACCTCAGGTGATGCTCGCAAGTACAAATATCTCCGGCTGGGAGAACTGTCTTCCGCCTTCCAAAATACACAGAACATTTCAAAAAGAAATATCCAAAATGAATCTGCCCTTTCTACCCGCTTAGCCCCCTGTCCTCTTAAAAGAACAAAAGCAAAGACTCACCATGTCTGGCACCGGCAACAGATTGAACGGGTCGAGAGCGAAACCAGCTATTGACAAGACTGGGTTTGGTTCCAGCAAGAGAGGCGCTTTCTATATCTCCTTGGGAAAGGCCGGTTTGCGTCAGTGCAAAGCAAGGTGCCCTTCGTTTGACATTTTCTTGATAATACAAGTTTGATAAATCATTACCCCCTTGGATTCGAGTTTTAAAGGGACAACAGCCGAGAGCACGCTGGCCAGTTGTCACTCGGGCGGGAGGGGGCTGCGTGTTTGGCGTGACTCATGTGGGTCTGATTACTAAACCGAAGCCGGAGGGAGGGGAAGACAGAAGTTTGCCTCCTCCTAATTAAGGGAAACATGGGAGGGACACGTCCCACTGCACCCAAGGCGGGGCGCAGCCGCCAACAGAGCGGATTGGGCTGCCGAAGTGGGCGCAGGGGAAGCAGTTAAATTACTGTCATATTTCCGTTTTTCTCTTCCACTAGATCCCGTAGCCGCCTCTCCAAATCTGCAGGCAGCGGATTCTGCAATATAACCCCGAAAGCAAGAGGCTTTGCTATGGCTGATGCGCACGGGTCCTGCATAAAGGGTGTACCCACCTGCATGTAGGTGGACCTCCGATTCTCACAGCCCTACTCTGAGGACAGCCAGTGTTAGAGGGATCCTGGGTTCTCCCTTAAAAATTGAGGTCTCGTATTTGCATTCCTGTTTTATCTTTATTAATACAATTAAGAAAGGTTCTAAGTAAAATTATGACTCTTCTCATTGTATTTTTTAAGCTCCTCTGAAAATATTTTAGAGAAATACAAGAAATTATTTCCAACACTGACCTAGTTCTTAGGTCACTTTCAAAGTCAAAGGAAACCCATTTTTTTCTTCATACCCGTCTCAATAAAAATCCACCACTGCTAGGGCTGATTTGAGAGGCGAGCTCTTAGGGACCCTGCAAATCACCATCCCCAGCAACCAGGCGGCAGGGCTGGACACCCGGGAAGCCACAGGAGGTCGTTCTAGCATGCTGCAGCGCGGGTGGGGGGTGGCCGTGGCCGTGGAGATATAAAATGGACTTTCCTGTTGTCACAAAGCAATGGCAGTAATCATAAGAAAGGAAAACATCTTTACAAAGAAGGCGTAGTTTGGTGACTAGAAAGGGATTCATAGCAAAAAGCTGCCCCTCTCTCTTTCCTGGCCAGGCTGGTTCGGGGAACCCCTGGCCTCGGGTATGAGGAGCAAGCATCGTCCCTTCCCTGCTGTCCGCAGCCCGGCCCACCGCCTCGGGGTCGGCGGCGTCGGACTCGGCTGGGCCGTCCCCACGCGGCGGGAGGACAATGCCGCCGGCCGAGGCTGTGGCGGCAGATTGCGGCGGGCGCCCGGGGCGCCGTGGAGGCCCCCCCGCCGCTCCGGAGCTGCCTGAGCGCGCTCCGCTGCCTCCGCTCGCCGCTCGCCCGCTGGCCCCTGTGAGGGCAGCCGGCTGGGAACCCACGGTCTCCACTATTATGGAAGGAGGATAGGTTCCCCGAAGAGATCTTCCTTACGAGCCGCCCTGCGGGTGTCAGGCCGCTTTCTATCGTAGTTTTGAATTAACATGTATTAAGCTCTCAACATTGAACCATTGTGCAAGGGCTTTCCGTGAATCGGCCCATTTAGCTTTGACGACGACTTTCGAGAAAGTCCCGAGTTTGAAGCTGGGGACACTGAGGCTCAGAAAGTCGCTTTGGAACCCTGGAGACTCTCTCAACGCCTCTCACAGGGCCGTCGCGCGGGGGGGGCCAGCCGCGCTCTCTCGGGATGCCCGCTCGGAAAGAAAGCAAGCGAGGTCGGGGAGGGGGCAGCAAGGGAGACGGGGCTGGGACTGTGGTGGGCTCCGGCTGCAGGAGAGCACGCAGGGCCGAGAGTCCCGCAGGGGCGCGTGCTTCGGCCTGGTGAGCGCTGGGAAACACCCTGGACGGTGGAAGCCCCGGGGAAAGCCGAGGGGCCTCCCGGGCCCTTCCGAAACAGACCCCAGTTTCCAAGGAGCCAAACCAGGATGCGAGAACTGCAAAGGGCAGGCCCGGCGGCCTCTAACGTCCGCGCCACGAGGCGCGCTCCTGGGTAGGGGCAGGCCTCCCCCTGCAGGCCCTGGGCCGACTTCTACAAGAGACAGTCACGACTCCGAAAGGCTCTGGCCACTTTCCACAGTCTGCATTTGAGCCGCCCCCGCAGAGGTGCGAGTTGAGCGTGCACCCAGCTCACCGACGTTCCGGGGCGCACTGATGAGCCAGCCCGGGCGGGATCGGCCACGAGTGCGCTGGGGCGGTGGAGTACTGCCATCCCGCCCGCAGCCCAGAGCTGCGGCCCAGGGCACGAGTGACGCCCCGCGCCCCCGCTCGGCCCCTAGGCCTGACGTTCCGCCTGCAGCCCCTCCCTGGCCAAGTGCGCACTTGGGTTCCCGCGTGGGGCCCGTCGCGCGTCAGGTCCTTCGGAGGCGGTTGACACGTGGAGAAGGCTCCTGGGGGTGGGAGGGCAGAGGCGCTGCTTTGGCTCCCCGCCTCCCCCCACTTTCAGCCGCAAGATTCTAGAAAGGAGGGGCCGCGTGGGGAGTGGAGGGAGGCTGCCGAGAGGGGAGGCCTAAAGGAGTGGCTGGGAAGTCAACGCGGGGCGGATGGCGGGCGCCAGCCGGGCGGCAGGGTAGGGGTGCGAGGGCGGGCGTTCGGGGCAGGAGGCCAGGGGCGGCTCTCGTGCGGTTCCGGTGGGTGTCAGCGCTCGGGAACGCCGAGGATGCAGCCACAGTCCCCGCCCTCCGCGGCCGCCTGTTTGGAGTGATAATCGGCCCGCGCGCCGCCGCCGAGGAGGCCGTAAATCCGCATCCATCACGGCGCAGCCATTCGGTCGGAATTAGCCAGTCACTACGGCCTTAATTACTTTGTCAAAGATGAAAAATAGTAATTGATTTTGCCCTCGATCACTCTGCCCATCCCGCCCCCCGCAGATAAGCAAATAAGTAGCTATTTTTGAAAACCGTGTCTACCCGGCCGTATGGGGGGGGAGGGGTGCGGGGGAGTCTACTGAAAAAGAGGCCGTCCCGTGGCAGCCCTGACGCCCGTGTTTATGCCAAGACACCAAGAGCGAACTGGAACCCGAGCCGGAGAGGGCCTGGAGGGCGGCCTCGCGCGTTCAAGATGCTGCCCCCCTCCGCACTAGGCGAGGCCAGAGGAGGGAGGCAGACATTTGACAAGCGCCTGCTCTGGGGTCAGCCTGGCGCTTTCGGCACCAGCCTCCTCTCGTCCTCGGGGCAGCAGGCGAGAAACAGCTGCAGGCCAATCTGACAGGCGAAAAGACGCTTGCCCAAGGTCAGCGGGCAGAACCAGCATTTGAGCCCAGGTCTGTGTTGACTCGGGTCCACTCCACTGCATGGGAGATAATGTCAGCGTCTCTGTGGGTGTTCAGGTGATTTTGATATCCAAGGCGTGAATACCTAAAACTTCTATGGGTGATGGATGCGAGGGATCCGTGTGAGTTTCAGGTGACATTGCCAAGATGGTCAAGAAGCCATGCGGTATTTTTGTTCCACTTGCCCACTACTGCCCAGCTCCACTGCAGTTGTTTTGTGCTAAGAATGTGAGCTCTGCAGACGGACTACACCACCGCCCAGCTCTAGGACCTTGGGGGGAAATTCTCCATCTGTAAAATGAGGATGGTAAAAGTATCAACCTGCCTCAAGGGTTGTTTGAGCATTAAATGAGTATGAGTGTGAAGTGCCTAGACTGCAGCCAGCTGCCTAGTAGGCTTTCAATAAGCGATTGCTATTATTCAGCCTGAAAGCCCTCAGATTTAGCAAATAAAACCGTTCTTTCTCCCTAGTCCAGAAGGCTTAATATCGGAAGACATGCACAGAATAGAAACCCTCGCAAGGTAATCATTGTGCAACATTTTCCCTCCTCATTCAGCAGTTTGGTCATGCAATAATCAAGTATCTCTCTTCCTTAAAAGAAAATTGGGAGCATCCTGAAAAAGTGCTCAAACACAGAGGCTGCCGTGAGTGTGTCCTGAGGCACCTTTTGTTGAGATCAAGGGAAATCTCAAGGTAAATGACAGAAGCTAGAGCTTTGTAATTAGCTTCACTGTCCAGTTCTCATCTGGACCCTGGTGTCAGGGAGACTCGAAATAATCACCACGAGCTTCCTTCAGTGTAGCATTTCAGAAGAATCTGCACTTGGAAATCAGTGGTTCCGCTGAGTAACTAGTCTGTGTGCAAAACGTCAGTCCCGGATCCCGGGAATCAGACAGGCAGGAGGCTGGTTCCTGAGTCAGCAGGAGAGATGAGTCTCACTCCACTGCAGCAAACGCAGGGCAGTGGGCGCAGGCGCAGAAGCGGAGAAGTTTAGAGCAAGCTGCGAAGGACATTCAAGGTCACCTATAGTCCCACATACCTGCTTTACCAGTGAGAAAACAGAGGTCCAGAGAGGAGGAGTGGGTGCTCAAGGTCACTTGCAAATTCGGAACAAAGTCAGTAAGCATCTCTTCTTTAAAAAGGAGAGGGAAAAAAAGAACTATGCTATCCTTTGATCCAGCAATCCCACCGTTAGGAATCTATCCCAACGAAACAACGGCACAGTGCAAGAATGTTTATTACAGCATAGTTGATGAGTGAAAGCCTAGGGAAAAAATATCCACATTAGATCAATAGTATATCTAAAGCATGGAACAATTTGTAGGCGTTAAAAAGAATGATTTAGAGCTTCGAAAGATTTTCATGAGGTAGTGAGTGAGAAAAGTCAGATGTATTAAAATATGTATAATATGATCCCATTGTGCGTGTGTGTGTGTGTGTGTGTTCCAGTAAAATATGGAAGCACACACATTAAGCAGCACCTAGGATGACTGGCGGGCAGTGTGGGCGTTGGTGGGAGTGGAGTGGAGAGGAGAGAGAGGGCAAGAGGTAAGCAAAAAAATAAGACAAGGAAAAGACTGTATTTTTTTTTAAATGGTTGCAATTGTCATATTTATAAATTTATGTAAAATATATATAAACAATTTTTCAAAGAAAAAAATGTAGCACTAGAACCTACTACTTTAATTAATGAGTATATTCACCAAACAGGCTACTTTCATTAGGAAATATTAAGCCTACATCTATTTTCCTGTCTTTCTATGAGAAGTAGAGCTCAGAAAAGTGAATTCAGTTAATTAAGGATCTGAGCTACCAACATTTGGCTAATCCTCCTTCCTAAAGTCCTGGTGTTTCTCTCCCGGCTCTGCTGGGGTTGAACTGTGTCTGGTCAAGACCTTTAGGAGACACAGTTTTGGAAAATATGATGATGC